TCCACATTTTTATTTTTGAACAAGAGGTGAGTCTGTTGTCGATCGCTACCAGTCTCTCAGAGATGTTCTATATGAAAGGATTCATGAATGGATTTATTACAAAGTACAGAAAGACCTAATACTTAGTAATTATGTAGCAAACGCGTGTCATTGTGTCTTACAAAGAATGTGAACTTTTTAAGCATTCATTAAGCCAAAAAAGCGGGCGTATGTTTCTTTGTTTCGCATAACCGGTAAACCACCATAAAGTTTTGTGCATGTAAGTACAAGCTGCGTAAGACCGGATTGTAATGTTTGAGCCACTCACACCGGGAAGGTCCCCTCCTCTTGTACCCTACTCCACCCTACAGGTGGTGTGTTACGCCGAAGGGTGGTTATACTGGCTATACAGATACAGAAGCTGGTGTGTTACGCCGAAGGGTGGTTATACTGGCTATACAGATACAGAAGCTGGTGTGTTACACCGAAGGGCGGTTATACCGGCTATACAGATACAGAAGCTGGTGTGTTACGCCGAAGGGCGGTTATGCCGGCTATACAGATACAGAAGCTGGTGTGTTACGCCGAAGGGCGGTTATACCGGCTATATAGATACAGAAGCTGGTGTGTTACGCCGAAGGGCGGTTATACCGGCTATACAGATACAGAAGCTGGTGTGTTACGCCTAAGGGTGGTTATACTGGCTATACCAATACCGATACAGATACTCTTTTCGATAAGTGTGGTGGGTTCTTTAACGTGCATGGTACTAGTGTGGCTCTTCCAAACACGGGACCTCCATTTAACGTCCTATCCGAGGGACGTCCCTAAGTAACAAACAGGTCGGCTCAGGACAGACAGGTCATCTGAGGACAGGTGTCTCCTGTTTCTCACACCGAACTCTTCCCGCTCTGACCGACCAAGGACACGACCTTCATCGTCCTTGGCAGAAGAACACGGTGAAGGGAACTTCCGGTTGAACTTCCGGTGGGAACTTTAAGTATATGGCCCTTTTTTTGTCAGCTGATACCACCACCAATTAGAAATGGTCACAGACTGGCCAATTTGATACTGTCTTACCCCCACCAAAAGATATGATTGGAGATTACTTGGGAAAGGCACTTTACCCGAATTTCCTTTCTTTACTCAAGTGAAAATGACTATGTCTGTTGTCCGTTGCCTTGAGGCGGCATAAAATGAGTTGAAAAAACAACTTGAGTGTGTCGTAGCCATTTCTTGAAATAAATGTCGGAACGTGAAATAAAACCTCCCCCGTTGTAAATCGGCCGTTCGTCAGGCCTCCTGCAGCTGGCGCCCGCCTCTCGACCGTACAGCGGCTAAAAGCCTGAAGTGTTTATACAAGTGTTGGCGTGAAAACCTCTTAACTTCAAACACTTTCACTGGGGAAGTCGTTCCGCGAATGGAATGGCGTCATGTCGGAAGCCGCACATTTAAACTTGGATTTTTTTTCTCTGGGACAAAATTAGCCTCTACCAGGATTGGGGAGGCGGCTGGAAATAGTAATAATCGGCCAAATAGAGAGATAAGCATGCCAAGGGAGTTTGTCCGTTGACAGAACAGTTCGCCGCACAACTGTTCTCTCAACGGACAAACTACCCCGGCATGCTTATCCCTCTATTTGGCCGATTTCTACTCTTTCCAGCCGCCTCCCCAAGCCTGGTAGAGGCTAGGACAAAATTACAATGGATTGCGTTCGAACTTCGCAGTATAACTTGATTAATCTGTTCTGATTCCAGAAGGACGTACTGCATGTAAGTTCTCTCCTAATTAATAAAAATCCAAAGAGACGTGAGCTCTCTGTTAATTAATCTTTGAATCTTGTTCGTTCCCCTGTGTTACAGCGTTAATCTGCAAATCCTTGTGTGTAAAACACTGTAATCCCAACAGCAGCCGGCTCCCCGCCCATCCAGCCGGCGTGCATGCGTTTGTCTAGAGGAGTGTAGGCCACACAAAGGTAATATCCTGGTTCTCGTGCTAAAAGATATGTTGAACTGGAAAATCAAAATGAGAATAGAGTTTGGGGAGTCTGTACATGCTGCAGCCAGAACCGTGCTTTATCCAGAAGCATGCTATAGCTAAGGCACGGTTCTGGATATTCCATGACCAGAATTGAGACTGACCGGGCCAAATCTACGTTCTTGGATAGACGGAGACTATCCCAAACCTTGCCTGATCCTAACCCTAACCCATTCAGGCATAGAACTAGATAGGTACGGTTCTGGGTACAATATGCATGTCATACACAAAATCATAGTCAAGTTTTCCGCAAGGCCTTCTGTTTATGACCTTGACCTCCTGTAGTATATTCCTATCAAACATTTGAGAATAATAAATAAAAAACTTATTCCATTCAGTAAATGTCTTACATTTCTTCATTACATTGTGCTCTTCTCAAATTCTTAAATTCTAAATCCCCGCCTGTATATATCCCATCCCAAGCCATTCTAACCCCCCCCCCCCGCAGCCAGTCAGTGGAATCGCCCGAGACATCTCTTTGAACTTGCGCTCCTTAAACGGCAATTTGTAGACAATTAGGAGCTCCTTAAAGCAGCTGTTCCCGCGCGTCTCCGGGGAACGGAGTCTCTTCCAGTCTGCTCAGCTTCACGGTCAAGTCCGTCCGTTGCCATGGCGACGGGAAGGTCTCGGTCGTCTACGCTGACGAAAAGATGTCGTCTGGGCGCTGTTTTCTGAGAGAAATGCCTCGCGGGCGTCTGATATAGCCTCGGTGCCAGGCTTCTCGGTGGGCTTTTTTTTCTTGCATTGAGGCTCAGCTTCATTGACAAGTCCATGCGTTGCCATGGCGACGGGAGGGTCTCGTCTGCGCTGACAAAAAGATGTTGTTTGCGCGCTCGCTTTCTGAGAGAAATGCCTCGCGGGCGTTTGGAATAGCCTCGGTGCCAGGGTCCTCGGTTGGCTCTATTTCTGACATTGAGGCTAAGGCAATTTGATTTGATTTATTAGACTGTATAAGACATATGTATACAGCCAGGACTGCCCAACTAGCCGGAGGCAATTATTATAAAGGGCTAGCCCTCACAACAAGAACATAAACAATTCGGAACAGGTAACAGTTAACAGTGTCGGTTACACTTCAGTTAACATACTATTAAATAACAGATGTTGCACTTGACACGACTTCCGTCACTTCACCCAGGGGTAAAATGTGTACCTGACTTCGGTTGGGGAGGTAAAAGGAAAAGTAAAAGGAAAAGTGAAAGGAGAGGGATGGGCTCCACCTTCCAATACTGTACCGTAGACACAGTGGACGAACAACCCACTACCCACATATTAGCCTCATATAAAGGCTATGGGACTACCTTTACCTTTGCCATTTTACGTTAAGTAGATAAGCTGCGATGGGTGTTTCGCCGCAACCTTTCAGTAGTCTCCACCAGACTCATTTGTTGGCTGAATAAATAGTAGAAATCAGCCTAAAAATACAATAGCTGGCAAAGAGAGTTGGCCGGCCATAGAGGGTCCAGTTTGCATAGCAGACCAACTCTCCTGCCACAATTTTCCTCACTTCGCTTAGGTGAAAATGAGTATTGTCCTGTCATGTATTTGTCCCCTGTGTTGGTGGCGGCATTAATATCAGTTGATAAAACTTGAGTGTGCCGTCACCACGTCTGGTGATTACATGTTGGAATAACAAAAAAAACAACTCCTGACCAGCTACACTCTTTTTAGGCCGATTTCTACTACTTATTCAGCCTGCAAATGAGCCTGATAGAGACTATCCTCTCAGGCATGGTGGAAATAATCCACTCAATAAACTCAATAAAACCCACGGAAAGGTCACGACGTCTGCCAAAGATGGGATCGTCTTAAGTAATACCCAGATATTCTTTAAGAAAAGCCTTTAATCCCTAGTGTAGTCCTGCTAAGAAAGGCTTTTCGCACATACAATAAAGCTATTTATACAGCTTAGGTTGTCGATAAAATGTATTTGCCGATGTTTTAGCAGCCGAAACTGTTAATGCTTTTATGTCGAAGATAGACAATTGCTGGAAAGGGAATGAGCACAACGTTAACCCTACATAACACAAACTCTCATACTTAACTCTGGACACTATATGTATGTAATAATTAGCTTGTGTTTTTTTTTTTAAATAGGCAAAGGCCTCTTTATCCGAACATTATGTATGTATGTACTAGACATAGCTTTAAATTGCCCTCCGTTGATCGTATTTAGTTGACCGGGGCTCGCATATTCCTATACATACATTTGTTTGAGTACATTAAATAGGACGGCGCCCAGTCTAACGCCTTTATCTTTGAGGCATTTTTGTTTAAATGAAGTTATTCTCTACAGCCTACTAAGTCTAAACAAGGACATTCTATATAATAGTAATGATTAGTATGTTTACATATGAAAACATATTGTTTTTGCTCAGTTTCGTCCTCTTCCTCTTCTTCTCCAAACAGTGACCTCTGACCTGGCCAATGACCTCATTTGTTGATGTCTGTCACCATAGTAACTGGTGTTGGGTTATATAATGTTGCAATTTCATAGTAGGCATTTAGACTCCTGTCACCATATACATGTATGTGAATGCGTTTGAGTAAGAATTGACAGAGCAGGCTATATACGAAGGTAAACATTATGCAGTTGCTTTGCAAATGTTAATTTTCTAGTTTTCGGTTTTATTATACATACATACATATACAAATACATACATTTTAATGGATAAAAAGGCAACTGCCTGTGAGATCCACATCTGAAACCTTTAAGTTATAACTATATACAGTAGATAAATTACAAAAATATAAATATACATTGTCCTCGCTAATTAGTTCGGAGATTGTTATCAGTAAAAATATATCTGAGAAAACGTCTCCTTTAAAACAACTAACGACAACAATGGGTGCGAAGTCTCGCGGCGTCTCGCGAGAGTCGGTACTTACGCGAGAGGCGAGTGTTTGAATTGTTTGAATAGTTGACTTGTTGACCCCCCCCCTACGTCATCAGAACCCAGAACCAGTCCAGCCACCCGGCACGCTACTGACATGGCCGCCGTCGCTACCTGAATACTACCTGACGCTCTCTCACCTGACGTACAACTCACCTCCACGACGTCAACACGTTCACCTTTACGCAGGTGAGAATCGTGTCGTACACACCTGGTGGCGACGTAAAGGTGTCGTCGCGACGCAAAGGTGTGGGTTACGTACGAGTGGGGGAAGAAATTTGTAACGTGTCAATTTTTATCACACCTGAGTTGACGTGTGTTTCACCTGTACAGGTATGGTTCTAGTACAGGTGTGTAGGGCAGTGTGGACAGTGTTAGCGTTGTGTTTACCTGTGGAAGGTGTTGTTGGCGTTGTTTACGCGCGGCAGAGACAATGTTACACGTTTAATTTCCTGTCTACGGCCCCGCCAGGTGTTGTGACATGGCGGCCTTGTTTGTGTGTATGTGTGTGGGGGAGGGGGAGGGTACGTTTCATTGTAGCTTAACAATACGCTAGCCTCCATAGCATGCCAAAAACGGGGGGTTTGGGGGGTCTTTGGGATCTTTTATGTGCTATTTTCTGATTGCATATAGACAACATAGCCGGCCTGGTTGAATTACCCTGTTTTTTTAGAACTGGGCTAATCAGAAAACAGCCGAAGACCACCAAACCCCCAGTTCTATAAGCCTGCTACGGAGACTAACAATACGCCGCCTATTTAAATATTAATGCCTTACCTGTACGTACCAAGCTCACGCCATACGCTATAGTATATGTATGGACAGTCAAGCCTGCAATAGTAACTGTCCACCTCTGCGTAAAGACCACATATTGCCGATGTGGCCACCTATTCAATGGTAGAGCTGTAGGTTGTTTTTCCCATTCACCCAAGCGTTACGAACACTATCTAAAGTGACCACCTGTCCACTATGACCGTTCACTTTAAGTCCACTGAGTAGCTAGTATTGACAAGCTTGCCTGTGTGTGTCTTTATGTTTTCATTTTGTGTTGGTCACAGTTTCTGCCCACCCCCACCCCTTTCGTAGATTATTTTTCCCATTTACCCAAGCGTTAAGAACACTATCTACAGTAACCACCTGTGGACTGTGCCCATTCCCTTTAAGTTTAAGTCCAGTGAGTAGCTAGTATAGAGAAGGTTGCCTGCCTGTGTGTCTCTAGGTTTTTCATTTTTTGTTGGCCATAGTTTTTCTGCCCCCCCCCCCACACACACCGAGTGGCTTGTATTTACCTGTTTAGTAGATAACAATTAAAAATCAGATTAAAACAATTCTTGTCCCTGTACTTGGTCTTGGCAAGAGAAATATTTTGTCCGTAGTTTTTCATTTCTGTTGTTGTTGTTGTTGTCCTTGTTTAACGTCTATTATGTCGCTAGACGTGGTCTCTAGCTGCTCAGTTTTACGCTTGGTTCAGTTCAGAGTCAAAAAGTCTCTCTAGGTATTAGCACTTGGTGACTTGTGCTTGTGTGAAGCTGGGAGTGTTTCTAGGAGATTTTTCTCCTCGTTTTGTTGGCCACAGTTTTTGCCACCCCCCTCCCCACCCCGAACAGCCGAACAGCTTGTATTTACCTGTTTGTCCTGGATACATTGTTATGTAGATTGTAGTTGGTCTGGGATGTGTAAATAGCACATTCACAGCTGAGCGCGTTTGTTCTTAGGAAAAATGTCATGCAGGCGGTTGCTTGCACAGTAATTTATTTTCCACCCCATTGAAAACATGCACCGCCCAACCCCTTGTCTGTTTATTTATGCAACACTTGATTGCTACTCAAGCATCGCAAACTAATTTTGTAACTATTGTCCTTGCCTGTTACATAATATCATATCAAATAAAAGAACACGAGAAAGACAAGATCTATATAAGGCCACAGATAAGACTAGGATATTTCTCTTGCTAAGACAAAACAAAATGTTACAGGGAGAAATATGTTTTTAAATCTAATTTATTATTATTGTTATTAGGTATTATAATTTATTTTTCAACAATGTTTGTTTCGACGAAACAGGCTATAGGCTACCTTGCGTAACGTCCTTGTTTCTATCAAGGCTTTTAAGGCCTGCTTTAGAAAACAGCAACTATGTAAACAGGCGTTCTTCACGCCATTGGTCTCTGATGGGTTGGAATTGAGAAACATTTTACTGAAACTGGGAAAGCTTCAGAGGCTTTCGTGTGTTGATTTAGAGCTTTACAGACCCTAAAGATCTAGAACTATCTCAGAGTGGAACTCACTGTCACCAAGTACAGTAGAGGCATTATCATTAGATAGCTTTAAACAATGTCTAGAGTTAGATGTTTAGGGGTTAGGTGTAACAAGTCGATCGGTGTACTGTAGCCAGCTGCCGCCGCGCCGCGTGCCTGCGAAGCTGGTGTGTTACGCCGAAATGCGGTTATACCGGCTATACAGATACAGATACAGAAACTTGAAAAAGCTTCAGATGTTTTCGTATGCTTATTTAGAGCTTTAAAGACCGTAAAGGGTCATGGTTACAACAAAAAGGTGGACACAGACCATGCATACGTCTGCGAATTGAAGTACAAAGTCTACCGCTATTTACGCACAATGTGTGGCACATACTATGGATAGTTTCACAGGGTAAACATGAGAACACAGAAAATCAGTTAGCTTACATGTACATAACCAAGTTTTGGGCCACTGATCGACGAAGTGTACAAGATAACTTCCATATATTAATACGTAGCGCTGAGCTATAGCCTCCATTGAACCAATTTCTCTGACTGAAAAATAGTAAAATTCAGAAAAGGAGAAAAACAATTTGCCAGGGAATTTAGGCCGCCATTGGCACCGTGGTGGAAAATATTACCCATATACCATGGATGGGGTAACCCCCCTGGCCATGTTACATTTTTTTGTATTTTTCCGGAATTTTACTATTATATACTGTTATTTTGGGGCGAGGTTTTGATATGGACCTGTTCCAAACAATGCCTGAGTCAAACAGTGCCGTATTGCATAAGTAGATAAGTAGTTCTACGAGCCATTAGAAGTGCTCTACTGAAGTCTCTCAGTGTAGTAACCACCATGTACCACTCCAGCTGACCCGCCCGCTAAGATGTGTGCTTATACTATTGTTGTTGAGAGTTTGATTTTAATATAGACTTTGTGCCTAAATCAGACACTAGATATGCCTTCAAATATCAGAGTTATCAACCAAGAATTGAGGTGTTCAAAAACTCGTATTTCCCCAGAACTATCGTAGACTGGAACTCGTTGCCACCAAGCACAGTAGGGGCATCATCACTAGAAAGCTTTAAACAACTCCTGCAATTAAATGTGCAAAGATTGAGTGTAACAAGTCGTTCGGTGTGATATAGCCAGCTGCCGCCGCGCCTCGTACCTGCGAAGCTAATGTGTTACGCCAAAGGGCTGTTATACCAACGATACTAATACAGATAAGTTTCACGAGCCATTAGGAGTTCTCTAGTGCTTAGTATCTCAGAGAGGGTGTAGTAACAGCAATGTACCACTCCAGCCGACCCGCCCGCTAAGGTGTGTGCATAAGTACAACACAACTTTCACCACATCCGTAATGGCACACGGGTAGTCTGGGAACCGGGCTTCTGAGGATGCCCTAGTTATCGCTGTACCGGCCCAGGCACATTTGTCATGATATAATCGTTTAATTTCACGAAACTACAGAAAATCAGGAGGAGTCTTGGGACCGTCGTGCATATGTCGCACACCAGTCAGCTGTCTTGGGACGGAAAAATCCTCGTCGGTGGTCAGTTGTCTTATAAACTCACTGAAAATCGCATGAGTAAAAAAAAGTCGTACCATACAAGTGAACCAAGCTGTCTTTACACACCACTCTTCTTGTCTGTCTCTGTCTTGTTCAGTTTTATAATCTTTGTTGTGCCAATAACGCGACAATACTGGTTAAAATAATGCCTGAAAAGTAAATGTTGCAGAAGGTCCAAAATCTATACGCGTCCTGCTTATATAGGTCATGGCCTGCCCACATGCTTACATAGTATTAACTCCATTGATGATTTATTTGCTAAACTTTTCCTTAACAAAAAAAAAAAACAGAAGACATAAACAGTTCACTACCAACATAGAGTTAAAATCATGTCCAAGCTGCTAGCAAACACATAACCCTTATGTGGTCTATGTGAAGATATTTTGATACCAAAGACTGCCGGCATTGTTGAGCCGTCGCCCGGAGCCTGGTAACTAGGCTATCGCGTTAAGCTGGCGTATAAAAAGCTGCGCAAATATTTAACTTTTCTGCGGGCGGAGTAGGGCCTTGTGACGTGGCGGGAAGAGAAGGGAAGGTCCGGGTGGTGATGAGGGAGTTTGGACAAACACTAGGCTGATAACGGGCTCAGGGGGCGACGGGCTAACAACGGGGGTGGACCGCTAGAAATGCGTTGTACAATATGCGTCCATGTACATCATGCATAGCCTGGGTGCCATCTAATGTGTCGCTACGTTAAGTACTAGTATCCAGGTAAAGCATCACGGGCAAATTAGGCAAGTGAATAAATTCTATGAAGAGTAAGTTTTTAGATCAATCAATAAATATCAATCAATCAATCAATGGATAGCTAAAACGTCATAGAATCTATTCAGTTGATTGTTTTATTTCATACTAGGTGATGTAAAAGAATGATGCAGTATACTGTCGAAAACACAGGTTCATGTACTAAGATACATCGAGTCTTACTAAACATTCTGTCAACTGTTTATTCATGTTTCTGTCACCAAAGAAAACCAACAACCCATTACAGTCTGGTAGATACAATGTACTAGTAAAACTCAGGAGAAAGTTTCAAAGAAACTTTTGCGTTTCCCTGTTGAAGGTTGCGGATTATGTTATTTTGCACCGCAGGATTTGCTGTAAGCTGAGAGGTTTAACCTTTTTTATTCCTTTGATCCTGCTGTTGAAAGAACTTCTCATTTTTCCCTTTTCACTTACAACAAGCTGTCGTCATCACCTGACCAGCTGAGAGGGCTCCTATTGGTCAGCCAGAAATCTCAAAGCAGATGTGAGAAGGGAAGCCTGTAACATTCTGTAAGCTATTTCATGGCGGGGCTAAACGTTGCCGTAGATTCACTTTACTTACTGGATGAAAGTAGAGTTTTGGGCAGCGATGGTTTGGGGTTAAGGTTGTATGTATCTTATTCTGAGCAACGAGAATTGGGATTGAGTGGGCGAAGATTGGTTGACAGTAGATTGACAGGATTGTGGTCTGGTATACTATTTTGTGGTAGGATGTGGTATGAGGTCGCCAGGAATGTTTACTGTGTAACGATACGTTTACGGAACAGAAGTGACAGTAAAAACTGTGAACATAAAAGTACCGTTATCGGGAAATACAGTATCATGCAACGAAACATAGCGACTTGACCGACTGTTGCCTTCACTGTCTTTAGGCGTCTGATATTTATGGCCTCCGTCGGTCAATACTGACCATGGTAAATCCTACTTAACATCTCCTATCTACAGTATCTACTATGACTAAACAGTCCTATTCGTGAATGACAGTCTCTGCCGCAGTTCTCACACTTATAGGCTGACTCAGTTCTATTGGAACTGTCTTTCCTACGGATTCGCCTTTCATCTGCATTGCGCATCAGTCTGGCTTCTCCTGTATTCAGCTGCCTGGACAGTGTGCATCTCCATCTAGCGCGGTCATCAGCAAGGTCCTCCCAGTGCTCTGTATTGATAATTCTCCCGGTAATACGAGTTTTTGTATCAGATCAGCCGGCCGGTTTGCGTCCTATCCGAGGCAAGCGGCTGACGGTTCAGTTTGTGACGCTGCCGGGTACAGATGTTATCGGGTAATGCCCACAGATTTACCCTGAAACGGAGCTTTAGTGCTATAGAACCGCCCGGCCGCCAGTAAAGAGCCGATAGATACAGAACTGATAAACGCATGGCTGGAGGGGAGGCCTCGCGTAATCTTCAAGCAGAGTCCTGGCAGACGTTTTCTGAAGTCTCCGAAGTCCATGTGTGATCTCTTAGCAGAGTCCAGGCAAATGCAGGATGGAAGAATCCAGACATTTTTTCTGACTGCATAGTTTTGGTGGAAGGAATGTGTGTCAGAAAAAACGCAGCCAAAAACATTGATTGATTGATTGATTGATTGATTGATTGACTAAGCAATTGATCTTACGGATAGTCCCTACAGTTGAAGCAAACTGACTTCTGTCTTTATCTTTTTTTTTTCAAGGAGCGGGATATATACTAGTAGTGTGTCCAGGTACCCAGGAAATATTGATTGATGGATTTATTGATTGATTATCACATGAGGGCCTGCAGAGGACAGCCGTCCTATAATCTTCGGACCCGAAGTATCAGCCATCATTACAAAATAAACCAACGTAAGATCAAGACACAAGATTAGAATAATTACAAGGAAACGAGTTGAACAAAACATCCACATAACATAACGTAACAAACTGGGACCACTACTAAGACATGGGGAAGATAACGCCAACGACCCAGGGCTAACTACTGACGATCAGAAAACGTTTCCATTCCTTCCCATTAGAATTAGTTAGATCTGCTCGAAGATGTCCTGAGCCGGACGGGGTTGCGAAACACCGTAAGGGAAACCATTGACGTATTCAGCCTTTAACGGGTGAAGGCTTAGGCTACAGTACGTTTTATCTACATATAATATGGATAACGTCCTGTTGTATTCAGAACTGTGCCTATCTAGCTCCATATGCCTAAATGGGTACAACAGACCCTCCATGGCGCAGCTAACCCCGCTATCAATCAGCCTCAACCCTCCTCCGCTCCGTAACGCTCATTCCCCCATCTCTTCTGAACCATCCCTAACTCCGACACAACCCTGTCCGCACCTGTAACGTACCGTCCCTAATTATAAGCACCCCGTTCCTGTTCCACACGTACCGTTTATTGCTGCCGCCGCCGGCGTTTTGATAACAGAAACTGTTTTACGAGTTTTACGCGGAAATTACACAGATACGGCTCATCACCTCTGACGGGCCATCAGCATTCCGTTACCATGGCAACGGAACACGTAGAGCCCGTATCTTTCCGGCCCTGTAAGGGATCGCCGTTTTCTAATCTTTTAGCAGAACTTGGGGTTGAAAAAGACAGTGGAATGGACAGCCTGGCCAATTTGATACTGTCTTTTGCCACTCTAGGATCTGCTTGGGGATTAGCAGTTTTCCGCTAGTTAATGCGGTGATTTTGGGTGTTGAATAAAAACATGTCAGACTTCAGAAGGTGAGAAAAATGTGCCGCCGGCCGCCCTTTGAAACGCGAAAGGTCGCGGCTTTACAAGTGAACCTTCAGTAATCTTTAGCCTTTGAAGAAAACTTTCTTGTTATCAATTCTCCCAGTACAATGATAAAGATCTGTGATTCATTTTATTCCGTTTCATTCTTACGCAAATGTCATCTCAAGGTGTTGAAAGATCAGCCATTTAAACCTTTATTTCCGCATCTATCATTTCTATAGAAATTCAAAAGGTGAGCAACCACAAGACTATGAAAGTTTTTCTGGCTTCCTTTTTCTTTCTAGATCTTTCATCATCATCTCTATTCCGTCTCATTCTTACGAAAAGTCATCTGAAGGTGTTGAAAGATCAGCCATTTAAACCTTCATGTTCTCATCCATAAGTCTATGAGCCATTGAAAAACTTTCTTGCTATCATTTTTGTTCTTTTCCTTAGTTTCTCAATCTTTTATTCATCATCATTCCTACGCAAAAGTCATCTCTAGGTGCTCAAAGATCAGCCATTTAAACGTTATTTTCCCCATCTATCATTTCCAGGGTTCTAGCCAGGATTTTTTTTCATAGCATAGGGGTCAGGTACGCAGAAGAGCAACTTTCTTGGCGCAAATCTCGCATTGAGCCGAAATATTTTGAAACTCATAACCCCTTAAGACACTATTTCTTGTTTAATGAAGAACAGATTTTGTTAAGTTAAGGTTTTCCCTTTGCTATAGCTTCATTCGTAAGTTATATTTTCATTTATTGCAAGATTTATTAAGGTTCTCCCTCCCAAAACACCCCTATGCTGGTTGAAAGACAGCACAGAGGTCAAAATTATGGCATAGGGGGTCAAAATCATAGCATAGGGGGTCAAAATTATAGCATAGGGGGTCAAAATTATAGCATAGGGGTCAAAATTATAGCATAGGGGTCAAAATTATAGCATAGGGGGTCAAAATCATAGCATAGGGGGCCTCTATGCTAAAAAGGCCTGGCTAGAACACTGATTTCTATGCAGATCCTATGCAGTAGCACCGTGCGCCGGGATCCGTATCTGCGTTATTACCGAGGTAAAGGTCGCGGCCGGGCAGGGCAGACTCACGGCTCATCGCGCTTTACCTGATCAAGCACTTAGGCGCGACTAACGCAGTTCGGTGGTTCACATCGCCTTCACAGCGCGTTTCTCTTTCCTTTTTTTTTATATTTAAACATTTATTACATTTATGTCAGCGGCGCACTCAGGCAGATCGACTTAAAGACAGTACGGCGTGTCTGCTCTGTAAATTCTTACTCAAATACATTCATATATATGATCAGTACAGGAGTCTAAATCCCTCCTGCTATAAAATTGCAACATGATGTGACCCAACACCAGTTACCATGGTTACAGACGTCAACAAATCAGGTCATTGGCCAAGTCAGAGGTTAGTGTTTCACTTGAGGAAGAGGAAACTGAGCATAAACAATATGTTTCCTTCGGTAAACATAATTAGTTCTCTTCCTGGTTTAGTTGGCGGACGAAATAACACCAGTAACCTGTTCTGTTCCAGCGGTCATCATCAGCGGAAGTCCGTGGGAACGAGAAGAGCGGAAGTGCGTGGGAACGTGCAGCTCGTGAACTGAAGGATGCGGCAGACGTCTTTACGGACTTCTAACCGTGACGTCACAACATCTGCTGCTGCTGACCTCTACACAGCGTCTTCTTACCACAAGTAAGTCTCAAGATTCTTAGCGATCAGTCTTAGACAGTCTTTAAGGAGAACCACACCCTGAGCACGTTAAAGAACCCACCACACTTTTAATAGTCTCCGTAGCAGGCTTATAGAACTGGGGTTTGGTGGTCTTCGGCTGTTTTCTGCTTAGCCCAGTTCAAAAACGGGGGTAATTCAACCAGGCCGGCTATGTTGTCTATATGCAATCAGAAAATCCAAAGCTCCCAAAGACCCTGAAGACCCCCACAACGCCCAGTTTTTGGCATGCCATGGAGGCTACCACACCTACCGAAAAGAACAGAGGTTCAAACCTTACAGTCTGGTCTCAGGTTTAACATCTTGAAGAGTTGATAGTCACCTGTTATGTCGGTCCTTCCACAAATATGGTAATTCTTTATAATATGATTTGAAAAAAGGGTTCTCGCATGGAGAAATGCCAAGTGTTTAGATACCGAAAATCATACCAAGCAACATAAACTACTTATTACAGGATCGTCTCACGACGCTTAGTCAACCGTGTGATTTGTAAACCCATCTTTAACAAAAAATAAAGATGGGGGTTGTGAATCATATGGTTCAGAGAAAAAATGCTGTATTGTAACAAAATAGTCTTTTGATACCTTTGATGAAACTCGGATAACAGGCACAGTGCGCCTTAGATGCTCTTATTAGATTTAAAGGAAGAACTATCGGTTTATATGGTTCAAAGGTGGCGTTTCGTCTTAAACCTTTGAAGAAGGCGTTTTCATTGGTGACACCAGAGAAACTGTACTCTGCACCAGACTCCTTTTGCAGGCTGAATAAATAGTAGAAATTTGCCTAAAAGAGGATATAATTGCAGGCAAATTGGACACTCTATGGCCGGGAAACTCCTCTGGCCAATTATATCCCCTTTTATGCCGATGTCTACGATTTCTTCAGCCTTCAAAAGAAGTCTGGTGGAGACTAGTGAAATCGCAGGTGAGATTCTTATTAGGATTTCTCGAAAACTGGTCTTCGCGTCTAAGATATACAGGAGAGATATTGGGTGTCATTGGACCAAACGTCGTGTTGAAATCCTTGCCTTGGGAGGTGCGTCTGATTCCAACCTCAATATGTATTATCAAATGTCTCTAAGGGCTTTAAGATGAAAAAGGATTTCTATCGCTAGTACTTTCATACCTTTGATGACAATATCGTTTAATCTAGAAATGTCCCAGGGTTTCTTATTCGTCTGTCGTCAAGGATTCTTAAATAAAAAAAAGCTAAGACTTCACTGGGACACCGCATTTCTTTTGTCGGTACTTTCGTACATTTGAGCAAAATGTTGTTACAGGTGGCGCTCGAGCTCACAGAGTGTAAGATGTCTTAATTAAATTTCTTTCTTTCATAAAAAAGCAGCACCGCAAATTTCGTTTAGTGCGTCTAACACAGACATACACCAAAGTTTAACCAGAGAAAAGAGAAGGAACATTTAAGGGAGGAGACACAATAGCATCATCCTTGTCTTGACTTGCATAACTTTTGTTTCCTTCTGGATTTAAAAAAAAATGTCTTCACTCATTTATTCATATCAATCAATAGTTCGTCCTTATAAACCTGCCTTTCTGACGAGTCTCTAATGTCACTGACGATAGGTAGTGGATGCTACCTGAAACGTCTGACGTTTTCAAAACCTTATCCAGTTGCTTGAGTAACTGTTTTGTGGCGAAAGAAAAATCGGCCAAATAGAGAGATAACATGCCAGAGGAGTTTGTCTGCTGGGAGAGAACATTTCGGGTGCGGGAAAATGTTCTCTCCCAGCAGACAAATTCCGCCGGCATGTTGTCTCTCTATTTGGCCGATTTCTACTCTTTCCAGCCGCCTACAGAAGCCTGGTAGAGGCTAGCAAAACTGTAAGTTGTTTTAGACATTCAGACTTCAGAGTTTTGATGTCTCAGATCAGACGACCACGCCTTCCGTCTCCAGGAAACCGTAACCATGGTAACCGGTAAACAAACCTCACCCCGCTGTCAGGGGACATCATTATCAACCTGATGACCTTCAAATTAATTTACGGTTGACCTTCAAGTGCTCTCTTTGCAGGCGTTCGCCGCTTGCAGTTTACAGAGAACAAAATAAACTCCAGGGTACTGAGGGGGGGGGGTCCGATTCCTTGGTTTTTATTTTTTAGGGGGAGGGGGGCATCTGCAAAGGCCATACAGACAGGGCTGCCCAACTATCTTTTCATGGGGATGTTTTAACATTTCATAAAAACCTTTGCTGATAGCACAGTATCAGTGTCAGTTCTCAAAACCTTTTTTACTACTAAAGCAGAGATTGGAATTAGCTACAGCCGCCATATTGGTAGGGTAGGTAGATCCAACATGGCGTCTGGTCATTCTGAAGTCGGAGGCAAAAAATCACGCAAGTTGACGTATCAAAAAGTGATTTAAAACACATTGCTGACACCATATCATGCTTAGAGTTAAAACTTTAGATCCAACACAAAAAGTTCTCTCACCTAGAGCTTTTTGTGTTGGATCTAAAGGTTTAACTCTAAACATGTCACTACCAACACTGATGAACTTTCATGATATTATATCATGCTATTAGCACACCAAGATGGCTGACTGGCACCTACGTCACAGTCACGTGACTTGCTCTAACCTTTGATGTTGCCGCCCGCAGGCTGGTGAGGTGACGTCATCGCGATGCCGATCCTGAGGCGCCGGTCGGTGCTGCTCCAGCTGGGCGCCGCGGTCTCGCTCCTGTGTTTCCTCTACCTTATCGCACAGAACCGCGTGCACAAAAGGACTAGAAACTCCGCCAGGAGACCCCCCCTGGACGACTTCGACCTTTCGAACAATATCGGTGACGTGGTTCCGGAAAATGGCGACCCGTACTTCCGGCCGAAAGTCCGGAGGCCGCCTCCGGAACCGGGCGCACCCGGGGAGTACGGGAAGGGAGTTTCGTTAACACTCACGGAGGAGGAGAAGAAGTTGGAGGACGCCGGCTACAAGCAGCACGCGTTTAACGAGTACGCCAGCAGCAAGATATCTCTACATAGGAGACTACACGAGGCAAGGCATGCAGAGTAAGTACAATCTTCCTCTCTCTCTCTCTTCCCCTTTCTCAAGTCAAGTCAAATCCCATTTCTCATTCACCCTTTCCCTCCCCTCTTTCTCTGTCCCCGTCTCTCTCTCTTAGAAATGTGCTAGGTAGCCTATGGCGTCCCCCGTTTATGTTCTGTGGTGGTTGACGGGTCCAAATGCTTCAGCAACTAACATTCAAGACTCGTGGTTGGAAACAAAAACATAAAAGGAACTCGTTTCAAGCCACACTTTCTCGCCCTTTAACGTAGTACATTTTTCTATCCAACACCCTGTCAACATGTGAAATGAGGCAGCACTTGAAGCGGCCTGTGTAGCGTCTCTAGCGTGGTGTTGTGGCACAAGTAGCAGTCGCAGTCCGTTATCACAAGGACTTGTACTCAGCCACTCAGGGCCGGCGTGCAGGGAAAGTTCAGCCTTAGGTAAAAAGTTCAGGCTAGGACGTTTTACTTGCCTATAACACATCAGGTTTGAACGTTCTATTTTGGAAAAAGGTTCGGGTTCGAACGTTCCATTTGGAAAAAAAGGTTCGGGTTCGAATGTTCTATTTTGGTGAAAGGTTCAGGTTCGAACGTTCCATTTGAATGGAAAGTTCAGATTCGAACAACCAGAGGTGAAGAGCAAGTGACTTGGTCTCTACTTCCTTCTTGCTACACGCTATGGTCAGTAATCCAGATATCAAAGACACTTGTATGGAAACACCTCATAGAGAGATTTCTAAAATATACGTAACATTAAAAGGTAATATACAGGCCAGAATTTGTTTTTTTTTCTTTCCATTGATGAGTATATCAGTCGACCTTAGGTGCGTCACAGGTCAATGTACCCGCCTTGAAGGTCACCTGTGAGAATACCTAACAACAACACGGAGGAAAGGTCACGACCTTCATCAGCTTGAAAGACAAGCCAGGAATTGATTCTATGGTAGGCGTCTTACGGCGTATTGATTCTGGCCTGTGTCCTACAGATGGGGGTCTGCATGCCATTTTTTGTAAGGCGTAATCAGGCCTATTTAGTCTTCGTAATCCGTAGGCAGCCTCCCCAAAAAAATCAACGTAATTCGTAATAGAACATTAGCTGCAAAGCGTAAAGTCGTAATCAGCTCTGAGACTTTAACGTAACTCGTAATTAGTGGCGGAAATTTTGCCTAATTCGTGTAATCACTACCCCCCCCCCCATGCAGGCCCTCACAGATGGACTCACTCCTTCCGACAGTCGGCAATGTTCCGTGTAAGTGCACCCTGCCACGTAACAAGCTGCCGGTTATCGAAAGGTCCCTTTGAGCACTTCACAAATCTACTGTCAAGCTAGAGTGTGGGTCGTTACGTGAATAAAACTGTTGGAAATTGATTGCATTTTTTCTGAAGTGTACCACTACCACTCACCCAAAAAGGTGCAGTATTAGGAAAGGTCCCTTTGAGCACTTCACAAATCTACTGCCAAACTTCAGTGTAGATCGTTACTTGAATAAATCTGTTGGATATTGATTGCATTTGTCCTTACGTGCACCACTACCTTGGTAGTCCTTCGTTGACGCAGATGACTGTTAAGTGTACTACCGCCACTACCACCGACCCAGAAATGGTGCAGTATTAGGAAAGCAGCTAGGGGGTTAAATATCTCATTCTTTCTTTCATACATACAGGACAAATCCTAACCTTAACAATCATTCACAATATTCGTATTAAATCAAATTAAACATTTCTGCATTACGCTGGACAGAAACGTATAGTTTGCACACGACCCCCTCAAATTTGCACACGACCCCCTCAAATTGCACACGGCCCCCTTAAATTTGCACACGGCCCCCTCAATATTTGCACACTTGCAGATTTCCCCCCTCTATATTGCACACGGCCCCTTTTATATCAGATCCAGTGCCATAACTTGTCTCCGAATCTTCTTTCACCTTGTAATAATGTCCTATTTGTTCTCATAAGCATCGGGCCTAATTACATCAAAACGGTCCCTATGCCATTAGAGTCGCCGTAATCAGTGATATTACAGTCCCCAGGCGGGACACGCGACATACTTTAATTATCCTGCCGCGCAGAATAAACGTTCAGCCGATGTTTAACGCTCATTTCCTCTGACACGATCGCGATAAACGCATCTATGGAGGCTACGCGATGTCAGTCTTATGGATGGCGTGCCCTCCGGAAAAGCGATCGTCTGCATGGAAGTTCAGGTTGTACTGCCATATTTTTTTCTTTTATTGCAACGTTTAATAACAAGGCGTGATGACAATGCACTAAAGTCATGGCTTATGTTGTGCCGTCATCGCAAAAAAAGGACATTAAAGAAACAATGCAAAAACGCAAAGTAAGAGAAAGAAAGCAATGTAAAATGTAACACCAAGGAGGCTATAACCTCAGGAGATGCAGACGGTGTATTTTATACAAGGAGTCAATTCTCGTCAGTTTCTTTACAATTGCAACATGTTTTTATCATTTTGCGGCAGTTTTACGCAGAGTTTACTTCCACTTTTTTCACTTGCAATCTCGTTTCAAAGATTCAATACTTTGATGCGATCCATAAAGAAAGAAAAATCAGTTTGACATTATAGAAAAATTACGCCTTGCAGCGCGATGTTGTAATATCGATAATTATTTCGCACACAAGACTGTGCACTTTTAACCGATTTTTAGACATGCAACGACGTGTATGCAACACATACTTTGATGCCACCCATACGAAAGCAAATCACATCGATGGCTCAAACCTTACACCAACACCTCCCTCCCCTCTGGCAATTGCTTAAGACAGTTTGACATTATAGAAAAATTACGCCTTGCAGCGCGATTTTGTAATATCGATAATTATATCGCACACACGACTAGAATCGGTAACTAAACGACAATGTGAGTCAAACGAACGGCCTTTAGATGAGTAATTGACAGTAATTACGGCACCAGACGAGGTCTTCACACTTTTATTATGTTATGGCGGTTATTATATGCTATAAAGGCAGATTGTGTGTTTTATTTGGTAAAAGATTGGTGATTACACAGCATGTCACAATCATTCTAGCGATAAAATGTACCGCTTTTCAAATCTTACGTCGTACTAGGTTGGAATTATAGTACTTATAATGTATTGTCCCTCACTGATGTGACAATAGTTGTTTTTTCTATCATTAATCATAATTGCACTGCAATAATGAAATGCCAGTCTGACTTTACATTCGTGTTTCCAATAGTTAACAAGAAATCGGTAAAAAGGCAGTATAAGGATATGGGAAGTTCTCTCCCTTCCAATATTGTACTTATCTCTCTCACTCACTCACTCACTCACTCACTCACTCACACACTCACTCACTCACACTCACTCACTCACTCACTCACACACTCACTCACTCACTCACACACTCACTCACTCACTCACTCACTCACTGTTTGTTCTCCCTCTTGCTCTCTTCATCTCTCCCCCCTCTCTCCCTCTCTCTCGCTGTCTCTCTATCGCTCTCTCTCTCTCATTCTCTCTCTCATTCTCTCTTTCTCGGTATCTCTTTCTGCCTTTCAACAACCCACAACCCCTATGGTTTCAAACTGGCTACTGGACTACCTTTATCTTTATGTACTGACAGATTCTTTTCTCCTTCAGGTGTAAAGACATCAGGTATCCGCACGACCTCCCCACCACAAGTGTCATCGTCACCTTCCATAACGAGGCGTGGTCCACCCTCCTAAGAACCGTGCACAGCGTCTTGGAGACGTCTCCGGCAAGGCTGCTTGAGGAGGTGATTCTGGTGGATGACTTCAGCGAACTGGGTGAGTAATCAAACGTAATCTGTGGGCATGCCCAACTATAGTAAAATCACTTGCATACACGTCACTTGTAAGACCGAACCTAGAATATGCCGCGACAGTATGGGATCCATATACAAAAAAAGACAAAGATAAACTGGAAAGGGTACAGAACTAAGCTGCAAGATTCTGTATGAACAACTATGAAAGAGGTGCTAGTGTCACGAAAGTGGAAAGAATCCTACAGTGGGTGCTACTGGAAGACAGAAGAAAAATGTCCAGACTATGCATGATGTACAAAATGACTAATAAACTGGTGAATATCCCAACTACTAAGTACCTAATACCAGCCCGGAAGAGAACAAGAAATAGCCATGCCTTCAGGTACTAGAGTTATCAACCAAGGATTGAGGTGTTCAAGAATTCATTTTTTTCCTTCCATGGCGTCACGTCCATAATGATCGACTTGTCTGCTCGTAGCTGCGATCAGAGTCACAAGTGTTAGGCAGTGAAAGATTAAGCTTACATGGAAACCAACCCGTTGTGCTACATACAAGCCATTTGACTAATTTTCCAGCAGTAAACGCTGTCTTCACAATTTGGGAAGCAATGTTTATGTCTAAGATGCACGTGTAAGAATATCCATATCCAGTATTATCTCGATACCCGATCCTTTATTGCTTGAAGACGCTATTAACTGCGCAATACTAAGCCGTAAAATGTCTCAAAGGAACGTTGTCTTCACGCAAGAACATACGTCTTGCACATCTAAGAAAAGCCACGCCCCGGGCTCACCATCTTAAGATCTCTTAACGTTCGAAGGGTTGCGAATTACTCCGGGCGTCCCGTGCGTAACGTCGGTTGTTTGGTATTAGGCCACAGCAAGTAATTTTTATGGATGACATCAGCGCGCGCATTAATATTCGCCTGATTTGGAAAAAAAAAGAAATCTTGTTGCCGTCTGACAGTGGTCAACATGCCGAAAATGGGCAAAGATGTCTGTTACCATGCCGGAAGGTGGATGGCAGATAACTATGAAGAGGGGAGACAAGAAAAGGCTCTGATTTAATGCTTTGTTTCTTACTTTGATGCAATCATATGTGATGCTGGCTGTGTATGTGATGTTCCCACTGAATCAGAACCATTTGTACAATGATTTAGTCCAAATTTTAAAATGTAGGAACCTTTTTTTTTCGGCCCGCCTTGTTTTTTCTTCGCCCGCTCGCATTATATTTCTAGTCCGCGGAGGATGTCATCCATAAAAATTACTTGCTGTGGCCTTAGCTTTTATGTGCGCACCTTAAAATGTTTTGCGTGGGACGTACAAATGTGTATCCGCCAGCCTTTCGGCAACACAGAGCAAACGTTCGTCATTTTCCTCCGCCTCCGCATGGTTGTTATCATATCTGTCTCCGTGCCTATCAAGTTCCATGTCGGAATGAGTTAGGGTTAGGCACGGTTCTGGATACTAGTAGTCTCCGCGTATCCAAGATTCGCCCCAGACACTGTTCTGGGTACTAGTGGACTATCCAGAACTGTGCATGAGCATGGTTCTGGATAGTCCACGGCTATCCAAGTGTTCAGAAAAAAAGTAGAATTGCGCGCATATTGTAAGTTGAAAGAATGATTTGAAAATGAGTTAACCGCTATTGCTAGTATTAGTTCTCATTCTTTGGCCTTTGGACAATGTGTGCTATTTTTCAACCATTCGCCACTCGGAAAAAAAGAAACCTAAACCTTGCTTTGAATATCAACTAAGTGTCAACGCCGTTTTGCCAATAAGCTGAAAAGGCTAAAAACAATCAATCCCACGCGTTTTTCCCCCATACATCTGGATGGTTTGGACTGATCCGTTTGGCTCAATATTTGCCATTTCGCGCCCACGGAGTTTACAGTTTACGGCGCCGAACTCATAAAGTGGTCTTTACTGCGCTTAATGGACCGGAAAGCAATCATCGCGACGTACATGAGTTGGGTCTTGTGTCTTCAAATAGGCTTCAAACCGGTGCAATGGCCAAGTGGGTAGAGTGCTGGCTTTGCATTCGGTAGGTAGCCCCTGCTGTAGCGGCCTGTGTGTATGGAAGTTGGGAGTTAAACACTCACCACTACCAGTGGACTAGCCCCCTGCTGTAGTGACTGCTGTTTGTGGCCCAGGGACAATGAACGGAGATGGGGGCCGCCCTATGCGTCACTTGACGCGGGAAGGCTCTTTAACTTCACTTCAAATAGGCTGAAGCGATTCCCGGTTACGTTCTTGGAACGTTAGTGCTTGTAAATATTGCCGTCATGGGGCCGAGCTGGCAAAGGAACAGGCGCCACCTGGCGGAGACGTGAAAAAGTGAAGCGTGAGCGCAAGCTTATGCACTACATCAGAGCCATCTGAGTTTTTCGTACGTGGCGCCTCAGGGGGGGGGGGCACGATCAAGTTTTTCTAATTATATCTCATCCCTATAGAAAGTTGTTTTTGGCAACGCATTAGGAACGTTCCTTTCACTAAAAACAAAAAGAAAATTACCGCCAAAAATATGATTGATCTTTCCTTACCTAGTCTCTGTAAGGCTGTTGAGTTCATGTGTTAAATGACATAACACCTGAGTGAACACCTGTCCTTACATGTTCCAAAACATCTGAAGCAACCGTTAGAGATGTGCCTAACACCTGTCCTTACCTGTTCCAGAACACCTGAAGGAACCCTTAGAGATGTACCTGTCCCAGCTGAAGTACGTGCGGCTGGTCAGGACCACTCGGAGGGAGGGACTCATCAGGGCCCGCTTACTGGGGGCTGCGCACGCGCGGGGAGAGGTCCTCACCTTCCTGGACTCCCATTGTGAATGTCACGAGCAGGTTTGTTGTTTACCTGTTTATCCGTCACCATGGCAACTGGTGCTGTAGCACGCAGGCACCCTGTGGATCCGGATTATTTTGGATATATGTTGGATTACACCATTTACATATAGCAAGTGGCAGGACAGAGCTATATGGACTGGTCACTAGTATATAAATGTGTTCGGGTTAAAGTAAACAGAGCAGTATGTAGGTAAGCATACCCATGTTTTGTTTGTTTGTTTTGGTTTATTTACTACTGTGCCGGATTGCCGAAAACCGGTCTAGTGTCGTAATGCTTCCCTCTATTTCCAGTGGCTGGAACCATTGCTGGCCCGGATTGCCGAAAACCGGTCCAATGTCGTGACGCCGGTGATCGACGTGCTGGACTGGAAGACGTTCGAGTACCAACACACCATGGAGGTATGGCTATCTTATAATCAACTAAGGCATATTTCAGACATGTACAAAGCAGAAACATAATAGAATGATTTATTTCTATTTATCGGTTTGGCTGTACATCCCTCACAGCGAAGGCAGCCGAATTAGCTACACTCAGGCTATTACAAATAGCTTGCCCTGCTGACAAAACATGGCAAAACGTTGACATTAGCAATGGTGTAAGTAGAAGGTTACGTGGTGAGGGAAGGAAGCATTGCTAGCTTAGACTAGGCTCTACCTAATATCGATCATGTCGTTGATGTCAGATTTACTTAATAACTGTAATAGAGCAAATATACTGAGATAACTTACTTACCCCCCGTCCGTTTTCCTGGTCGTTGGGGAAGAAGGTAAGAGTGAAAATGGACAGCTGTCTCCAGACCTCTCTGTCTCTTGCAGCGGTCTGCCTTTCGACCAGGTTTAGGGATGTCTACTAGTCTAATATCTCATACAGAAATCTATGGTAACCATACTGACCACTGTTAACAACCCCCCCACCACCCTACAGGTGCAGCGCGGCATCTTCGACTGGCGACTGACGTTCACCTGGGGACTGATCCCGGAGTACGAGCGGAGCAGGAGGAAGTCTCCCGTAGACCCCGTCAGGTACGCACAACTGCTGACGTCAGTACACATGATCTGATGACGTCTCCAAGCACAAAACGTTAGGAAGAAAAAGTCTTAGTGAGTCAAGCTACATCGATGAAAAGCTACATGGTTAACAGCTGCATACTTTGAAACTTTGAAAATAGAAACTTTATTCAGAATAACCATTACCGGTGGGCCCAGGGGTCATACGTTCATACCCACGCTTTGATTCATATCATCTTGTGATCTTAAAGTCTTTAAAGTCGTCTTAAGCTTTTAAACTGAATTTGATTCTAGCCCCTTTAATTAAGGGCGCCATGCTGTTTTGCTTGGCATTTCTATGTTGAGTCACAGATGCAGGTTGGCTTTTAGCTATAAGAGCCTAGTTTGTGAATCAGTATGTTTGATGTCATGATGCAACTTCTAGGTGTAACCATCCAACATGGTGAACAACACTGACGTCAAAGTCACGTGAGTGCAAACTCTCTCTTTCCCTTACAGGTCTCCGACTATGGCGGGCGGCCTGTTCGCCATGGACAAGTGGTACTTTGAGCACATCAGAGTACGCCTTAAGATCCATTATGTCTTCTTAATGTTCTCTCTCTCCCACACAGGTCTCCGACTATGGCGGGCGGCCTGTTCGCCATCGACAAGTGGTACTTCGAGCACATCGGCACGTACGACGCCGGCATGGACGTCTGGGGAGGCGAGAACCTCGAGATGTCATTCAGGGTACGTCTTAAGATCCCTTACGTCTTCTTAATCTTCTTACATTAAGAAGACGTGGTGATTTGTACGTCTTTTTAACAACTCTGAACTGAGATTTGGCCTTCCTAGTCTTATGTCGTGAACCTCAAAATGTTCTTCATCGTACGTCCTAGATCCCTCATGTCTTGTCAATCTGCTTAGAGTCTTATTCCTCGGGCAGATATATCAAATTCTGGATTTACTTTGTACGTCTTTTCAACCGATTTGTAGCCTTAAATCCAGCCTGTGTAGAGAGAGTGAAGTGCCCTAAATTGTACTGAACCATTACCGTTAGAAAGCTAACCACGGCGGGAGGGTACATTATAGTCCTAGGAAAACCTTTTGCCTAATGTCCTGTACCAATGTAATTTCATATGGCAAATTAAACCGTGCATTATTGAACAATCCATTACGTTTGAGACATACTTGATTTCTCGTCCTTCTTTAGATCTGGCAATGTGGAGGGAACCTGGAGATCATGCCCTGCTCACGAGTGGGTCACGTGTTCAGACCTCGTTCCCCTCACTCGTTCCCGAAGAAGAACGAAGTCCTGGTGAACTCGCTGCGGCTGGCGGAGGTCTGGATGGACGATTACAAGGAGATTTTCTACAGGAGGAACCCGCACGCAAAAACGGTCAGTACAACGGACATGTTATTTTTGTTCTTCTGGTTCTTGTTAATCTTCTTGTGACGTTGTAAATGAAAGCCTATAAAGGAGACCATAAATTGGAGACAAATTCTAGCGGCCATTACGACTACGCAGTTGTTGTCCTTATCATGAATGGACCAGAAGGAAATATATTGCAATCTTCACCTGACAGGTCTCACTATATGTAGAGGACAGCTTCTCTTTCATCATTTACGGCGTCATTTTTGAGGTATCATTGTCTTGCCCAGCTTCCTGAAGGAGAGGTACGGTGACGTGTTGGTCACAAGCTTGCGTCATGTCCGGTATCTCTGAAATCATTTCTTTTTCCCCTAGGAAAGGTACGGTGACGTGTCCGCCAGGTTGGACCTGAAGGACAAGCTCCACTGCAAGCCGTTCAAGTGGTTCATGGAGACCATCATGCCGGACATGTACGTTCCCGAGGACAGGCCAGGCCGGTCGGGCGCGGTAAGTTCTGATCGGTCGTATCCTACAATTGGTATCGACTGTTTCCAACTAGCTCAATGTCTAACGCAGCAGAAGTGGTGTCAGAAGTGGGATTGAAGGCACTCTCAAAACCCTCATTTTTAGTCACAAACATGACGAGAAAAGAGAAGAAAAGCGCACCATTCCTTCAGTGCAAGCATATCGCCATATTGAAGAGGCATTTCTAAAAACGGAAATGCCTTACAGCTGCCAAACACTACCCCCTAGTAGCAATAGGTTACTACCTCTGTAATGTCTTTAAGAAAACAATAACTGTCTATGTAAGGCCCTATAAACGATACAGTTGTGTCTTGGATAGTTTGGTAAATAATCGTAGTAGTCACTAGAGTTGGTTGCCATCAGCTAACACAGATTGTTTTTTTTTTACAGTTACGAAACAGTGCCTCAAACCTCTGCTTTGACTCCGAGGGCGCAGAGAATGCCGGGAAGAGGCCCACTATGTGGGGATGTCACGGGATGGGCGGGAATCAGGTGAGCTGCTCAGTTCATCATAATTGCCTAGTCACGGCCCAATGTTCTGTCGCCAGCTCCCTGCTATAACCCATTGCAACGCAATGCTGTTTTGTGCTAATCTCCAAGCAGATCATACGGTGACAAGGCTGTATCCATTGGCCATAGAGGAGTATCCATTTGGTGGCTAATGGACACTTACTATATATACCTTGCCACCGTAGGATCTGCTTGGAGTTTTGTGTCTTTGAAAGAAATGGTAGGTGAAGGTATCAGGTCCCATGGCGTTTTGGGGGCCGTACGTAGGGGCAGTGGGTTTTTAGTTCTTATGAGAAAAAAGGTATTTCTAAAAGGCATGAGAGCAACAGAAGTGGAGAAGAAAACAGGAAAGAATCATTTTGTGTTGAAATACTCGATTTCCTTTGCAGTATTTTGAGCTGAACGGTCGCGAGGAGCTGCGGCACAACACTGGCGGGAAGGAGATGTGTGTGGAGGCGCAGGGGGGCGAGTTCGTGGTGCTGATGCACTGCGCCTCGGGAAATAACGTACCGGCTCAGCAGAAATGGCAGATCAGAGGGGTAAGGGTCCTGGTTCTTTAGGGTTAAAGTTCAGAGGGGTAAGGGTCAAAGTTTGTGGTCACAGTTCAGAGTTCGTGGTGCTGATGCACTGCGCCTCGGGAAACAACGTTCCGGCTCAGCAGAAATGGCAGATCAGAGGGGTAAGGGATGATCCTACCCTTCACCGTTCATAGTTTGTCGTTCTGATTTTCTCTTGTCGTTCTGATGTTTTCTGAAGGCAAAAAGCAGTACAGTACAGTGATTTTCATAGTTAGCCTGGGTGCCATCCTACTATATATATGCCGGGGCTCCCATACTCGCTGCTCCATTTTTAGGGACCGAGTGTGAGAGCCCCGACATACAGACACAGGATGGCACCCAGACTCTTCCAAGGTGCTTCTATGGTTTAAACTTACAATGTGAGGTTTTGCACAGCAGCTATACTCACATACCTTTTCTAATTAACTTTGTTTGTGCAGGACGGATCCGTTTACAACGCCTACCACAGCAAGTGCCTGCACTTTGACCCCGAGGAGCGGCAGGAGAAGAAAGAGGTCAAGGCCGTCCGCTGCACCGGGCAGGACTCGCAGCGATGGAGGTTCGACGCCTGAGAAAAACAAAAACGAAATGGTGACGCGAAACCTTTGGAAAAATGTAGAGAATTTTGTAATTTTAGCCTCCAATCTGTTGTTTGCAACACTAGATTTTAAGTGGAGCTGGTCCGGTCGCGTTACAAAAATAAAAAACACGGACAACGAAATGGTGACGCGAAATCTTTGGAAAGATGTAGACAATTTTGTAATCTTAGCCTAAAATCTATTGACTGTTTGCAACACAAGTTTGCCACTAGGTCTTCTTCAGGAGGATTGACCCAGCCGCGTTGCACACGTGACACCATTGCTTACGTTAAGCCTCCAATAGGTCACGTGATCGATATGGGTCAGCCATCTTGAAGAAGAGGGAAAAATTGGTGAAACTTGAAAAGACACGTTTCTCAACGAAAATTGGCGACCAGAGGGTGTGAGGACCTCTCCAAAAGACATTTCAAATCGGTTTTATGAGTAGTTTCTTTATTTAGCGGGGTAAATTTTTACTAATACGCAGACTGTCGAAAATTCCGGGGTGCGTGCAGGTCAACATCTACAGGAGATTAAGTTTCAGAAATGACTGCCCAAGAAAATCTCAAAAGGCCACAGTTGTACCAATTGGTGATTTTTGCAAAGTCTGTACCTTTTGTGCATTGTTATGCACGCGCTGTGTAAAGCAAAGCCGTAGCCAAACCTAGCAATTTATAGTGGAAAGCGTGACAACTATTGAAATGTCCAATTCATAAATAGCAGTTGGTACTGAATAAATTGGTAATAAATTTGTAATGGTACGTGCAAAATTGACACACCAAAAGTGCAAAATTGACACACCAAAAGTGCAACTTTAGTGTCTACTAGTATTTTCATCTTTCTTGCTGATTTTCTGTAATAAGTAGGTGCTGTTTTTTTTCCTGTAAATGATTTTAGTATTGAGGACCAGAAACGCCCTAGTATCAAACTGCAGTGATAAGTCAATAAGACAAAACTAACGCATTAAAAACGTAAATGTTTTATTAAAAAAAAGAAATCAGGTAAAACATGATGACGATGTAAATATTTCATAAAGAGGAAATTTATGGTGCAATCTTATATAAGATTTCTACAAAACCTTCTACTTTCTTAATTGTCCACCTGTGGAGATATAAAGATCCCATTGTGCCTCAATAGAACATGCTGCAACACTAATGATGATACAAATGGCAGTGTTTTCACCGGGCCTTTTGAGCATACTGGCTCTATATTCTGTGATTTGGACCCCTATGCTGTGATTTGGACCTTATGCTGTGATTTGGGCGCCCTATGCTGTCTTTCAACCAGCATAGGGGTGTTTTTTTTTATAAATCTGGCAAAAAATGAAAATATTATTTTAGAATGAAGCTAAGCTTAACTTTACAACATCTGTCCAAATAAGCAAGAAATAGTGTCTCAGGGGGTTATGAGTTTCAATTTTTTTGGCTCAATGCGCGACGCGACGCAAAAGTTGCTCTATTAAATCTGTACCTGACCCTTAGGCTGTAAAAAAATCCTGGTGAGAACACTGAATAATGACTGTTGCATCCAGAACCGCGCCTTATACAGAACCAAGGCTCAGGCACGGTTCTGGATAGTTCAAATTTCTCGTTGCGGTAGGCAGAACGCCTGATCTTTGACATATCAGAATGTTGTGACTGTTGTCATGGAAACATATCATGAGCTTTGTGACTAAGGTCGTTTGTACGTGACGTCACAACTACCGCCATCCTGGCTGGTTAAACCCAAAAGAGTCAGGCCTGGACATTTGTATAATGTATGCGTGACTGTGGTTGGTATACAGATGTAAGGTTCCCAGGCAAGCTCTGGGTTTAAACACCCAACATGGCGGACCATTCTAGGTCACGTGAGTGCAAACCCAATTCGGATTAAAAAGGAACTTAGTATTTTATATAAAAACGATCTTCACTACTGGTTATTATTACATACCAAACACTTTATCTTGTAGAAGCATTGCATAAAGACCAATGCACATTTTTAGAGTAGGGATTATGTTTTATTCCATTTTTGGTTGAATGTTTGGTTTTCTTGTCGTGAAGATTAGGCATACATTAATAAAATGTCACTTCAGAAGAAGCCAAAAGTTCGACTGATTTTACATCAAAAGACGGCACTATCCAAATCTTCATCAGCCAAAAGCTGGAGCAGTCAGCTATCAGTAAAACTGCTCGAAAGTTACATGTAATTTGGTCGTCTGTTATCATTAATAACTCTAAACATTCGTCAGTTTTTACTGCTCATGAATGCTGGTTTGCTCAAACAGACCATAATCATGGAAGAATTGTTTTAGTCCTGATGATAAAACTATGTTGCAGTGAATGATTTTAGTTATAGTCCAAAAGTGCATTTCGTCGAAGAACTCCATTTATTCCTGTTTGACTTATTGTATTATCTAGTTCCCATGTTTCGACGTCAAATGTAAGGAACTGTAATGGAAGCCACCGTAGCAGGCTTATAGAACTGGGGATTTGGTGGTCTTCGGCTGTTTTCTGATTAGCCCAGTTCACAAAACGGTGGTAATTCAACCAGGCCGGCTATGTTGTCTATATGCAATCAGAAAATAGCACATAAAATCTCCCAAAGACCCTGAAGACCCCCAAACCCCCAGTTTTTGGCATGCTAAGGAGGCTACTGTAATGAACTATAATGAAATGCAAGACAATCTGCAATTACGTAGAAGAGAATCGTGTGCAATTTTTAGCCTTTTTTTGTAAATCTTGCAATTGTACAAAAAGCGTATATGGCTAAAGCGTTAAGTAACTTTAAATGATTTTAAATAGTCTCTGTCCTACGTTAGTACTAAAAAATCTTTGTCTTAACATATCATTTCCCTCAATCGTCTTTATATTATGTGTGTACAGCATAGGAATTACTTTAAAAGAAAAAATGCTACTAACATTTATGTAAAAGTAGCATCAATAGCATAATTACCCCTCTGTTCTAATTAAATTAAACTACATATTTGAAGACCATGCAGCTTAAACATTCTTCATTAAAGACTATATTTAAGGATACCACAAATGTTTAAGTTACTCATAGATGGTTTTAAACGTGTGACAGTCACAGTGCATTTGCAACGGTTAAAATTGTCATCATTACTATTGCAAATGGTCTTCTCGATGTATCTATTAATTTCAACTTTTGCAAAGATTCTTATCATCGCAAGAAGAGCAAGAATATTGATTAGTAAGGAACGTAATGGAATAAAGTTGATGACTTACAGCACATTGTTGATGTATTTTTCTATTTCTCAAATATAGATAATGATAATTCAATACCAAACAAAATACTAATCTAATAGTAAGTTCAGTTTAGATTCGTATGTTGTGTAAGAAATTAAGTTTCTAGTCAGCCACACATTTAATGCTCTATTTACAATGATATATTCGTTTTTGACTCAGTAAGCTTGTTTACATCTCTGATTTAACAATTACATAACCATATCAACACTTGTTAGCTAGTACCATACACACATTCCGCGAAAAAGTTAAAAGTCCTATCCAACATTGGAGATTATGGAAAATTTTATAGTGCTCTCGAAAATTATAATTAAACAAAGCTGAAAATGAATATAGTTTCTCTTGGTAACGATCCAGCTTCTGGGTCGAGCTTAAGTTGTATCAGCTTCACAACATCTATCTTTAAGTTAAAGGCTTTCTGTGTAAAGAATAACTACACCACGGTCTCCATTTCAATGACGTCATGTGGGAGCAGTGCACGTCTCAGTTGCATCAGCCTCTCTTCTAGCCCTTCTGGGGTCGGTCTTGTATCTGGATCGTCGCGCCAACACGACCTCATCAGTCGGTACAGGTCCTCCGGACATCCCTCCGGCATCGCCAGCCGTTTGCCTTGCCTCAGAATCCCCACCATCTGGAGAAAGCTCAGCTGAGTCCTGCCATCGTAGCACGGATCTTTTCCCAGCGTGGCGATCTCCCACAGCAGCACGCCGAAGGACCAGACGTCGCTCTGACAGGTGTACTCGCCGGTCTCGATGGACTCCAGCGCCATCCAATTCAGCGGAAGGAGTTCGTCCACGCCCGGGCTGTCTCTTCGTACGTACTGAGTAGAGGTGTAGACATCTCTGGCCAGTCCAAAGTCAGCCAACTTGGCCGCGCCATCGGCAGTGATGAGGACGTTTCGAGCGGCCACGTCACGATGGGCGATTCTCAAGCGTCCCAGTTCTTGGAGAGATCGTGCTATGTCAACTGCGTATCCAAGAAGGCTTTCAAGTAGGCCATCTTCGTTAAAGTTTGGTATTCGGCGAAGTAAACGCAGGAGATCACCTTTTGGGGTATATTCCAGAAGAATGTACTTTTCCGTAGACTTGGTGATGAGCCCAACAAGACGAACAATATTAGACTCACGACAATCGTCATTTCGTTGTTGATGCACGGCGACCAATATGGCGGCTTCTCTATAGAAGTCTCGATAGGACTGCGAGTCCTCGACGCGAACTGTCTTGGCGGCAACGGCCAGCTCTCCCTCAGGTGTGCGCAGTTGTGCCTTCCTGACTAGCCCAAACATTCCCTCCCCTATCAGGGGACCAGGAGTAAGATGGCGGAGCTTCTTTTCCCAAAGCTTCAGCCAGCCGGGCTGTAGACTCTGAGCTAGATCCTGCTCCATTCTCCTCAGCTCGAAAAGGATCTTCTCCTCCTCGCCTGCGTCGGGCGCGGAACAAGCCAGAATGCCGGTTTTGTAGAGTAAGGCCGTCACTATGGCAACAAGGAAGACTAAGGAGCCCAGTGGGACCAGGCTTTCGATCAGAGGCTCGTCTCTATCTCTGCTTGTCTGCCATTGATCACAGTTCTCTCCCGTCCACGACCTTACACATGTGCAGCTGCCGTCTACGTTACTACATGTGGCGTTGTTCTTACAGGTGCAAACTCCGGAACAACCCTGACCGAACCGACCGTTTAGACACGGTTTGCTACAATCCCTTCCGTACCAGCCGTCAGTGCAGTCACACCGGCCGTCGCTAGGGCTACAGTTCGCCCCGTTTCGGCAGCTACAGTTCTTTGCACAGTCTTTACCGTACGTGCCATGGGGACATTGTGTCTGACACCTGGTTCCCGTCCATCCCGGCGGACAGACACAGCCGGCCCACCGGTCACAGCTGGCACCTTGTAGGCAACCACACACTTCCTCACACCCGGCACCTTTTCTGTCTGGAGCACAGTTAGTAACATTGAGCACAAACGTGGTGTTGAGCGTGTTTCCCCGGGTGTCTCGGACCTGGCAGCTGTAGCGTCCGGTGTTGGTCGGTTGTATGTTCGGAACCACAAAGTTCATCTTGGTTACGCCGAAGCCGACCTTCTCTGTCGCATTTGGATATCTAACCGACATGTACGTGACGTCGACATGGTGGGCCTTGCAGTGGAACGTGAGGTTTGCGGAGATGTAGATGTGGCGAGGGTCGCTAGGTGTCGTCGTGATGGAGACGTCCTGTTTGGGAATGTCGCAGGCCACACCTTTCCATCCGGGCGGACATTTGCAGGCGCCGTTAAACCCGTGGCAGCGGGCGCCGTTCTTACAGATGCAGGTTTTGTCACAGAGTAAGCCGTATTGTCCTACTGGACAGCCCACAGGCTTTACGCCAATGTCCAGATATTCAGCATTTGCCAATTCGTACGTTTGTGTTCTTACTGGTTTCGAAAATTGTGGAATCTCACAGTTATATACTTTTGCTTCCGTTGTTGGAAATGGCCATGAAATAATATAGAAATAGTTGTGAATTTTTTCTTCTACGACAGTCTGAGGAACATACTGTCTTAAAACATGTGATGTGATATTTCCAGGACGTCTATGATAAATCAGATCCACTAATAGTTTGGGTGTTTTGTAATCCACGGTGCAAGAAAAGTGACGAAAATGACTGAGCCAAAGATTTTGCATGTTTAAGTCATCATTAAGATGGTTACTGTACAAAATCATGCGAATGTTACAGTTACTGTTGTCTGTGTGCAACTGCCAAGGTGCAGGTTTCCCGTCAGAAAGGTCAGAGAGTTTAGCCCATGTTCCTTTGCCATACAAAATGTCTCCACCTGTCGTCACGGCTCCCCATGCAAAAGAGAAACTGTATAGCAAATCTCCCGTCTCCCCGTCATGGTTGACCGGAGTTTCACACGTCTCGTTGTACACAGGAGGATAGCCCTCCACGTCAGTCAACTCTACCTTAACAGTCGTGTCGCCAACTCCACTGCGGAGTTTCAGCAGATATACCGGCTGTACTGACCAGTCCAGAGGGTTGGCGACCACAACAGTGCAGTTCCCCGTCACAACACTCACATTGAAGCGGCCGTACGGATCTCCCTCCACTTTGGCACACGGAAGTTCCGCTTTTTCTGCAGCCCGGTTCTCCGGTAGGCTGAAATTGAAAATGGTCTCCCCAACAGTGACGTTTTCTGGTACGGAAACGCTGAACTCTGTGGCAGTAACAGACCTTGAAATCTGGATAAAAGTCAGCTGACTAGTCAGCCATAGGCTTACAACAAGTAATTTCTGCGGTTCTTCTGCCATAGCCTTAACTGCAGTTGCAACTGAACACAAACTCTCACTGTGACGACTCTCGGCAAGTCCCGTGGAATTCGTTTCCTGATCCTTTCTTATGACGGTAGGTCACAGATCAAGTAAAGGAGAACCTTACGGAACAATGACCGGATATCAGGTGTCCTGAGATCGTGTTGTGTTTGCTTTAGCCTGAGTCACTAACCGTATCATCAGGTACAGGTACCGGCAAGGAGGTTTAGGTACAATTTGTAAAGTAGCATACAATTTTCAACGATGAGACGAAACCTGAACAGTTAACAGAATGTTTATGTAGTATTTTATCTAGGGAATCCATGATTTCTAGAGGATATCAACCCAAAAATAATTGAATACAACTCTAATTTTCCACCTGTTTTTTTTTACCGGGGCAGGATTCTAGCAAATACTATTTTATATATTTACATTACAGCACCTTATACCAGTGATAATCTTTTTTCCGTTCCGACAGTTGAGCTGATTTTGTTGTGTTCGCCATCGTTTGTAAAATCCCCCTTTAAAGGTAGGAACAGAAATAACTGTGGCGTGACGGTCCCTATTTTATCTAATTTTGCGGAAGCAGAACTATCTATCTTTAGGTACGTCGATGAAGGTTAGACATCCAGGTAATACGATACGCCAAAAAGCAGTTGCTCAAGCAACTGGATATGATTTTGAAAACGTCATCTTGTCTTGCATCATCTTGTCTTGACTTGTCTGACTTTTGTTCCTTTTTCGACTTCCAAAAAATTTGTCTTCACTTTATTTGCATATCAATCAATAGGTTGTGCTTATAAACCTGTTTTCCCCTCTGGTCTCTCAGTCACTGAGGAAGCTAGTGGATACTAGCTGGAACATGTTCTGACGTTTTCAAAATCATATCCAGTTGCTTGAATAACTGCTTTTTGGCGTATCTATCTTTAGTATTTACGCTACACATGAGGAGACTTTAGTGAAAAGTTTTCTACTAAACGCGCCGCACGGATGGCTTTTACACTCCTTGATTCTCAATAAAGAACTTTGTTATACAGCCATGTCTGTTTATGATGTGAATTACCAATATACAAGTACTTAAAACCTGTCTCGCAAGCTGCGCATCACGTATAAATTGTCATTGAAAGACGCTAAAAGACGGTGTTAATTGAAAAGTCAGTCGATATAAATATTTATGTCAATGCGAATAAATAAGACGGTTTGTACGGGTCATGACGCTCGCTTGCTACGCGCTTTTGACTATTTCCATTTAGGACGAAAACGATCCTCAACTTTACATCTGCTTAAAAAAGTTAAACACGTGAGGCCGAGCTTTTCAAGTGCAATGATCCTTGAACGTACTGAAAAACACGGACAGGGACGAGGAAGTGCACTCAGTGAGAACCGGTGCTGTTTCCTCTAGGGTCTGTTTGGACCAGAGACAGAACTGAAGAAGAAACTATGGCAGGAAGCAGCCAAGAACTGATTCTTGTAGGTTTCTGGGTTGTTTCTATCCAGGTTATTTGCTTTTCTCAGGCCCGGCAGGAGTTCAGCGTTTCCAAACCAGAAAACGTCGCTGTTGGGGAGGCCATTTTCAGCCTGCCAGGGAACTGGGCTGGATACAAAGCGGAACTTCCGTGTGCCAAAGTGGAGGGAGATCCGTACGGCCGCTTCAATGTGACGGGGAACTGCACTGTTGTGGTCGCCAACCCTCTGGACTGGTCAGTACAGTCAGTATACCTTCTGAAAGTCCGCAGTGGAGTTGGCAACACGACTGTTAAGGTAGAGTTGACTGACGTGGAGGGCTATCCTCCTGTGTACAACGAGACGTGTGAAACTCCGGTCAACCCTGACGGGGAGACGGGAGATTTCCTATACAGTTTCACTTTTGCATGGGGAGCCGTAACGACAGGTGGAGACATTTGGGAGGGCAAAAAAACATTTATCAAACTCTCTGGCTTTAGTAAAAGGAGTCTTGCTCCTTGGATGGTCCGATCAGATAACAGTAACTGTAAAATTCGCTTAGTTTTATACACTGACGGCATTGATACCTTAGTAACGAAGCAAGATGTTTGGAACAATGGTATTCGACATTTCACTTGCACTGATGAGTCAAAAACACTCAAGCTATCCATTGACCTTGTCCGTCATTATCGTGGTGACAATATTACATCAGACATGTTAAGGCATGTTCCTGAATCTGTCGTGGAAGCCAAGACACGTGACAACTATTTCCTTTTCGTTTCATGGTCCTTTCCAACAACGGAAGCAAAAGTATATAACTGTGAGATTCCACATTTTCGGAACCCAGTAAGAACAAAAACGTACGAATTGGCAAATGCTGAATATCTGGACATTGGAGTAAAGCCTGTGGGCTGTCCAGTAGGACAATACGGCTTACTCTGCGACCAAACCTGCATCTGTAAAAACGGCGCCCGCTGCCACGGGTTTAACGGCGCCTGCAAATGTCCGCCCGGATGGAAAGGTGTGGCCTGTGACATTCCCAAACAGGACGTCTCCATCACGACGACACCTAGCGACCCTCGCCACATCTACATCTCCGCAAACATCACGTTTCACTGCAAGGCCCACCATGTCGACGTCACGTACATGTCGGTTAGATATCCTAATGCGACAGAGAAGGTCGGCTTCGGTGTAACCAAGATGGACTTTATGGTTCCGAACATTCAACCGACCAATAACGGACGCTACAGCTGCCAGGTCCGAGACACCCGGGGAAACACACTCAACACCACGTTTGTGCTCAATGTTACCAACTGTGCTCCGGACAGAAAAGGTGCCGGGTGTGAGGAAGCGTGTGATTGCCTACACGGTGCCAGCTGTGACCGGTGGGCCGGTTGTGTCTGTCCGCCGGGATGGACGGGAACCAGGTGTCAGACACAATGTCCCCATGGCACGTACGGTAAAGAATGTACATGGAACTGTAGCTGCCGAAACGGGGCGAGTTGTAGCATTAGCGACGGTCGGTGTGACTGCACTGACGGCTGGTACGGAAGGGATTGTAGCAAACCGTGTCTAAACGGTCGGTTCGGTCAGGGTTGTTCCGGTGTTTGCACCTGTAAGAACAACGCCACATGTAGTAACGTGGACGGCAGCTGCACATGTGTAAGGCGGTGGACGGGACGGAACTGTGACCAATGGCAGACAAGCAAAGACGAACCGCTGCTCGAAAGCCTGGTCCCACTGGGCTCCTTAGTCGTCCTTGTTGCCATAGTGATGGCAATACTCTACAAAACCGGCATTCTGTCTTGTTCCGCGCCCGACGCAGGCGAGGAGGAGAAGATCCTTTTCGAGCTGAGGAGAATGGAGCAGGATCTGGCTCAGAGTCTACAGCCCGGCTGGCTGAAGCTTTGGGAGAAGAAGCTCCGCCATCTTACTCCTGGTCCCCTGATAGGGGAGGGAATGTTTGGGCTAGTCAGAAAGGCACAACTGCGCACACCTGAGGGAGAGCTGGCCGTTGCCGCCAAGACAGTTCGCGTCGAGGACTCGCAGTCCTATCGAGACTTCTACAGAGAAGCAGCCATATTGGTCGCCGTGCACCAACAACGAAATGACGATTGTCGTGAGTCTAATATTGTTCGTCTTGTTGGGCTCATCACCAAGTCTGCGGAAAAGTACATTCTTCTGGAATATACCCCAAAAGGCGATCTACTGCGTTTACTTCGCCGAATACCAAACGTTAACGAAGGCCTACTTGAAAGCTCTCTTGGATATGCAGTTGACATAGCACGGGCTCTCCAAGAACTGGGACGCCTGAGAATCGCCCATCGTGACGTGGCCGCTCGAAACGTCCTCGTCATTGCCGGTGATGTGGCCAAGTTGGCTGACTTTGGACTGGCCAGAGATGTCTACACCTCTACTCAGTACGTGCGAAGAGACAGTCCGGGCGCTGACGAACTCCTTCCGCTGAATTGGATGGCGCTGGAGTCCATCGAGACCGGCGAGTACACCTGTCAGAGCGACGTCTGGTCCTTCGGCGTGCTGCTGTGGGAGATCGCCACGCTGGGACAAGATCCGTGCTACGATGGCAGGACTCAGCTGAGCTTTCTCCAGATGGTGGGGATTCTGAGGCAAGGCAAACGGCTGGCGATGCCGGAGGGATGTCCGGAGGACCTGTACCGACTGATGACGTCGTGTTGGCGCGACGTTCCAGATACAAGACCGACTCCAGAAGGGCTAGAAGAGAGGCTGATGCAACTGAGACGTGCACTGCTTCCAATTGAAATGGAAACTGTGGTGTAGTTGTCGCTCGCTACAAAATTTTCTTGCAGGAAGCGATAACTTTGAATCTTGAACCAAAACTTAATTGTGAGCGATACATTCATATTTAGATCTACGTGTAAGATGATAAGAAAAGGTAATCTTTTCCTTTCTTTTGGTCTAATCCTAGAATAAATTTACTTCCTTTGTTTGTTTCTTTAAGTTAGGGAGAATCGTAACGTCTTTACAGAATCGTAATTAGTGTGCATGGAAGTGACTTTTTGCCAACCAGAGCTTTGTTAATGTGATTTTTTAGATGTTAAGTACAGCTGTACACAAACTTTTTTTCAATAATGGATAACTATGATCGGGACTAATTACCTTACCTTAGACCTTAGATCCTCACGCAACCTTGTTGCATAGGTCGACTCCTTGTCTGACTTTTTGTCTCCAAAGGTTTCGGTCTTGCGCCACTACTGCCATATCCTTAAGTGAGTTAAGTCCAAGTTTTACCCCATCATTTTGTAGTGTTTTCCGCAAAGTCACTCTAGGCCGCCCTCTCGGGCGTGTGCCTTCTGGCTTCCATGTTAGGGCTGTTTTTGTGGTTCTGGGATCGGGGAGTCTCCACACATGTCCAGCAAAGCTCAATCTCCTTTTCATTACAGTCGCACTGAGAGATGGAACCTTGGCTCTTTGCATGAGCTCCTCATTTGATACATGGTCACGCCAGGAGATGCCTAGTATAGTTCTGAGGCATCTACGCTGGAACGTGTCTAACATTTGCACTGTCTCTTTGGTGCTTCTCCAGGACTCACATGCATATATAGCAGTTGGTACCACAATGGACTGGAAAAGCTTCATCTTTAACGGGATGCTGATTTGCTTGGAGCGCCACATTTTTCTTAGACGCTGCCACATTCCGGTAGCTTTTCCTAACCGACTTTTAATATCCTCCTCTGTACCCCCACCCATAGTAATAATTACTATAATGTAAAAGTAGAAACACGATATTCTTAGCAAACAATGTACATATATATAAACTCCATTGCCTAACTTACTGTTGAATAATCTCAATTAATCTAATTATTACATTGCAAGACAAAATATATCGATACAGACACATTACTATAAATTGAGCAGCATTTCCAACTTGCTACATTTAATGCAATAAAAACACAGGGTTTCTGCTACACTACCAGTTACCATGGTGACCTTATTTTGTTTGAAAAACAAACAACATAAACAGTATGCTTCCTTCTGTGAAGGTGAACGTAAAAAGTGACCAGATGATGAGATCTTATGTATGACAGGTTCTGAGTTTTTGCGTTCATATGTGTGACTTTCTTGCAAATAGACGGAATAAAACTCAGAATATTCTTAGTAAAAGGAAATATGGCCTAATTCCCGGTGTTGCCTGTGGAGTCACTTTGTTGTAATTTCAAAGGATGGTTCAAATGTATAACGCACTGTTAGAAATTAAGATGAAACATACCGACAAACCTTTAATGGCTTTTATTTTACATATCAGCTATACATTCTGTGTTTTTACTCTACGGGATTGCGGATACCCCTTATTTGGTAACAAAACCAATACTTTTCAATCGCTAAAGCTGCAAATGAAGATTTTTTAAAATTTTTGTCTGTAAATATAGACCCTAACCTAACCTACATGTTGTAAGCACTGCTCTTAGTTGCTAATGACGTCACGAGGTCAAGGTTCAACGGTCTTCACGGTTCGGCTGCGACACAGAAAAACCGGTTCTGCCACACCGCCCCCCTCCCCCCTGCTTCTACCGCCAAACAGAGGCTCATGAAACCGAGTCTTGAGACATCTGAAGACATGGCTCAGGCGGACTTCCTCTCAGTTCTCCCTTATGTAGCAGCAGTGGGTGAGTCCTTAATTTCTTAAGGTTTGGTTTGGTTTTCTTTTTAATGTCCACGATCATGATAATGATCATTCTTCCATGCTCATTTTCACCTGAGTGAAGTGAGGAATGTCGATTGTGTAAAGTGCCTTTCCCAAGGGCACAAGATCGGTGACATGTCAGAACTCGAACCCGGGACCTCTTGGTTCCGAGCCGAACACGCTACCGCTACGACCCCACTAAAAGGTCTTAAGGTTTATCGTGCTTATATTAGGATCACCTGACACCAACAAAACTGCCAAACAAAAGCCTGCATTATGACAAAATGGCTAAATGAGGTCAAGAAATACAAGGTGACCTTGTACTATCTGGTCCCTGGGACAGGACAAGTCGTTGTTGCATATATCTGTGTAACCTGATACAGTCAGGCACGTTTGTTGTAAGAAGGACAAGTATAGGTGATTGGTTGTACAAGTTGTAACTGATAGGAGTAGGGCCATTGCACGCAAAACAAACACGGCCCAACTCAGTGCAACCTGAGACCGGCAATACAACATACACAGAACGGTTCGGCCATGGTACCTGTTATGTTATGTCAAAGCGCCTGCTGTAACTTCAAAGAGATCCGACATGTGGGAAGAATAACAGAATACTCTGTATACTCTGTTTTGTTTGTAACATATAAATAATATAATACTTCTCTTGATATATTGCTGTATATATAGGGGTATAGTTTTCCGCGTACTACTTTATGTTTATGACTATCTGTATGACTATTGTATTTATGTCAAATGTTACGTGGGGCTGTAAAACAAGTTGTACAACTTGAGTTCAGTCCCACTTCGTCCTTGTATTGCTTTATTCAATAAAAAAGAATAACAGAAGAATCCGATCAAAGAACCGGCAAAACCACGAAACGTCGACCATTCGACATACATACATGTACATGTAGTGAGCATGTGTGATATTTTCTAGAGCTAGAGGCACCAAACGTGTCTATAGTTGATGACGCATAGGATTTAGCCCATATCTATGTGGCTTTAGAAATGCCTTTCGCTTTACACGTGCAATAATTACATTTGGGGAAGTCCAATTTTTTTGTGTTGGAAATTGCAGTTAAATCTTGCTGACAATGGCCACCTGTTTACCTTTTACATGTGTGTATGTGTGTATCTTCATGTATGAATATATTTCAAAATGTGGGGCCCGACATCAGCTCAGCTGCCAGGGCTTCCACTGTATTGCATTGTATTGTTGGCAATTTAAATAAATAAATACCTTTTACATTCCCAGGTGTGGCTGTCGGTCTGTACTTCCTGCGGAGACATGTGAAGGGGGAAGTCTGTCGCAGCGACGTTCGGCTGAACGGCAAAACCGCCATCGTCACCGGCGCCAACACCGGCATCGGCAAGGCAACGGCCCTGGAACTGGCCGATAGGGGTGGGTAACAACTAACCCATGTCTTAACGTAAGCCCGTGTCCTTTGGTGCTAACCCAGGCCTTAACTAAGGTCCTAACCCTGCTGCTAACCCAGGTCCTAACTCTAATCCGACAAGGCCATGGCGCAAGAGTTGGCCGAGAGAGGTGGATATCGACCAACCCAGGTCCTAAGCCAGGTCCTAACCCAGGCCATTATCCTTGTCCTAACTCTAACCCAGCAAGGCTACAGCCCTGGAGTTGTCCGAGAGAAGTGGGTATCAACTAACCACGTCCTAACCCTGGTTCTGACCCAGGAGCTGGACGAGAGAGGTTACTAAAAACTAATGAACCTGCCATTTACCCTGGCCCTGGTCCGAAACCTTGATCTCTAACCCGGTAAGACAACGGCCAAGTATCTAGCCAGAAGAGGTTCGTATCAACGATCATATAAACTTAACACTAGTTTAAAATCGGATCGCATATATTACTGCGAAATGAGTACAGTAAGTAAGGCACTAGTTATAGCTGTATATGCCGCCATGACATACTCCTATTAAAGCACTCTGTGGTCCAAATATGACATGATTGCTAATGTTCGTTGTCTAGGACCTGGCCAGAAGAGGTTCATAACAATAATCCAATAATCATAACTTTTATAGTTAAATGTCTTCGCCTGATAGTGAAAATGAGTACAGGAAGCGAGGCACTACCTATATGTAAATGCATCTATGGCATACTCCTGAATGTCATGTGGTCCTAAGACGATATGGCTGTCTAGGTTTGCTGGCAATTCATCCGTTTCCCTCCACGTGTTTTTGCAGGTGCCCGAGTTATCCTCGCATGCAGGAACATGGCCAAAGCGAAAAAGGCTGCATCCGACATCCGGCAGGCCACCGGAAACGGAAATGTCGTGGCCTGGAAGTTGGACCTGGCGTCTCTGACGTCCGTCCGGGCGTTCGCAGGTCACATCAACACGGAGGAGGAGAGGCTGGACATCCTCGTCAACAATGCAGGTAACCTTTGCAGAATGAGCAGAGATAGTTTATTCTAGCTCCAAGTCATTTTACACGACTTTTCCTCACTTAACTCAGGTGAAAATTGTAGTGTAGGTTAGTATTGTAATGTCCCCTGTGTTGGTGGAGGCATTAATATCAGTTGAAAAAAAATTGAGTGTGCCGTCACCACGTCTTGTGGCTACATGTTGGAATATATTTTTAAAGTCATTTTGTACGTAATGGTCGTGTGGCGTAGCGGCAGTGTGCTCGACTTGGAACCAAGAGGTCCCGGGTTCGAGTCCTGACATGCCACCGATCTTTTGCCCTTGGGAAAGGCACTTTACACGACTTTCCTCGCTTAGCTCAGGTGGAAATGAGTATTGTCTTGATTGATTGATTGATTGATTGATTGATTGACTATTCCGTCCCCAGGAGTGATGTGGTGCCCTCAGCAGCAGACAGAGGACGGTTTTGAGCTGCAGTTCGGCGTGAACCACCGGAGCCACTTCCTCCTCACCAGTCTGATACGTATAGATTGATATTGAGCACATTGATTGATTGATTGATTGATTGATTGATTGATTGATTGATTGGCATATTTGTCCCCAGGAGTGATGTGGTGCCCTCATCAAAAGACAGAGGACGGCTTTGAGCTGCAGTTCGACGTGAACCACCTGGGCCACTTGGTACTAACCAACCTGCTGCTCATCGATCGATATTAACCGATCGATTGATTGACTGATTAATTGATTGATTGATTGATTGATTAATTGACTATTCCGTCCCCAGGAGTGATGTGGTGCCCTCAGCAGCAGACAGAGGACGGTTTTGAGCTGCAGTTCGGCGTGAACCACCTGGGCCACTTCCTGCTCACCAACCTGCTCCTGGACAAGCTGAAGGCGTCCGCTCCCAGTCGCGTCGTGACCGTGTCTGCTGTGGGGCACAAGTCAGCCCACATCGTCTTCGGGAACCTGAACGCCGAGAAGTCCTACAGCCCCTACCAGGCAAACTTCCAGAGCAAGCTGGCAAACGCACTGTTTTCACGGGAACTAGCCAAGAGAACGAGTGGTAGGTATGGCAGTCCTACGCATGAAAGAACAAGTCACCGAATTTTCGGTCCTCTCTAATACAGTCTTCCTCAGGTTCTAATACAGTCTTCCTCAGTCCCCATTTAGAACTCGTAAAGTCATTTGTGTGTGTTGTTTGATTCCTCCTGCAGGTACGGGCATGTTGACGTTCTCTGTGGACCCCGAACACCTTCCTCACAGCTTGTGACTGAAGTTCTGCTTCTCGCCGCAAAAGCGCCACCTAAATCGGCGAGAAGCAGAACTCCAGTCACAAGCTCTGAGGAAGGTGTACAAAAGACTCTGAAACGTAAGCGAAACAAGAGACAATATCGGTTGTGTAAAAGAAAACCTCTGTATCCTATACTTTACCAACCTAATGAAACTATTTCTCCTACAGGTACCGGCGTGATGTCGTTTTCCGTGGACCCTGGACCTGTACGCGTATACGGACGGAGTTGGCCCGCCACATGCCCCAAACTCTGGGCCCGGTCCTGTACGTACTCTTCTGTTTCTGTTATGCCCAAGTCTTTACTAACATGATTTTTATTTCCCTGTAGGTACGGGTGTTTCGGCGTTCTCTGTGGACCCGGGGCCGGTCCGGACGGAGTTGGCCCGACACATGCCCGGTCCTGGAGCTGCAAAGTCCCCGTTTACAACTCGTATTCAGGCTGTCACACAAAGAAGGTCATTTGTGTGTGTTGTTCTATTTCTCCTGCATGCAGGTACTGGTGTTTCTGCGTTCTCGGTGGACCCCGGTCCTGTGCGGACGGAGTTGGCCCGCCACATGCCCCAGACGCTGGGCCCGGTCCTGTACCCGCTCTTCTGGGTGGTCATGAAGCTCATCCACCCCATCGTCAAGACCCCCCGCGAAGGCGCTCAGACGTCGCTCCACTGCGCAGTGGCGGAGGGGCTGGAGGCGTGCTCGGGGATGTACTTCAAGTAAGCAGTTTGTTTATTTGTTTGTTGTTTGTTTAATCTGTTTTAAGAACTTCCAATTAGTGTCAATATAGCCACTACTCTTCCTGACCTCTTACATGCATTGTGGACTGGAGGCGTGATCAGGGATCTAAGCAGTTCTACGCTTGCATGGCTTTAGAACTCCATTATCTCTTTTACTGTGCTACTTATTGTTACCTATTTGCCATACAATGTACCCTGTACAACTGCCGTGCTGTGCTTAGCTTTATGTTACATATATATGCAGGCAGGTAGAAATTGGCCAACTAGACGGATGGCGGGTAGTTGGCCCACACTAAGACATAAGGGAACAGTTTGCTCAAAGACAATAAGAGTTCAGGTGGAAAGTGGCTGGAAAGAGTAGAAATTGACCAAATAGACATATGATTTGCATGGGGAAATGGTCTACTCTAATGCAATAAGAGACCAGTTTGCTACTCCCGAAGCCTGGTAACGGCTATGAATGCGTCAATTACAAATTTAATACCAGTTAGGAAATGCGGCTGATTACGCTATATGGACAGGATATGTCTACTGTGTAAGACCCAGGAAACAGTCTAGAAGCCAGGCTAATGCCACTGTGTATTCCCCACAGAGAGTGCGCCCCGGCGGAGCCTGCTCCCCAGGCTAAGGACGACGCCGTGGCGAGGCGGCTGTGGGAGGTTAGCGAGGAGATGGTCGGGATCAACACGTGAACGAGAGCAAGAAGGAGAGAGGTGTATCCAGAACCGTTCCTTGCTTAAGCGCGGTTCTGGATAGTCCTCGCGTATCCAGAACCATGCTGCATCAAGAACTATCCTTCTAAAAAGGCGTGGCTCTGAAATGCGTATGGTCCAGAAACATACATATACCTGGAACGGTTCTGAATACGATAATGATGCTATGACCACTGTTCTGGAGAGATTTCTCATGCAAAAACGTTAAAAAATAGCTCTTATTTGGTAAGTTGCTTGTTGCACGACATACTATCCCAAATTTTGGCCGTTTCAAAAAGGACCTCTGCTAACGTTGAGATGTGCAAGTGAGCTTTGTATTCGGGGATATGGACACTCCTCTGGCCAATTGATACTGTGTTGCCACCACAAGGGATCTGCTTGGAGATTACTGCATTCTACATAAAGGACAGTATTTTAACAAATAACCACAAATGATCTTTCCTAGGGGACAAAGCATGGTACGAATGTTGGGTTTGTTGATTCAGATGTTCAATATTCATTTTGTATTAAGAAATTATAGATATTTATTCGTATATTCAGATTTTGTATAATGAAAAACGCTGATCATGACATAAGACGGAATGGGTTTTATTGTTTTATTGTGCAAAGGTTTTTCACAAATTCAATGACTTTTATATAGCATGTATGGTCTTCATATTTCAATAAACTCGTGCAGATAAAATGTTAGTGTTAGATATTTTAAAGTTTTATTACATAGTATTGCAGTATTGCATCTTCTTGCCACTTACCACTATATTCTTTTGAATCAGTAGATTATGCACTTTTGACGGATGGTTCATAATTTTGTAACGTTTGTTTGACACTCACCACTAGTCCATTTTCATTTGTTAGCAGATACAGAAAAACGTGCATCTAAAAAGTGTGCTTTTGCTAAATACCTTACAGTTCTGTTACATAGTTATTACGTTTGCTTGGCACTTGCCACTACTTCATTTTGAATCGACAGAAGCTTCAGAGATTGATTGATTGATCGATTAATTGATTGATCGATTGATAGAAATTTCGCTGTGCCTTTGTGATTAGTAAGTAGGATAGATGACTATTGCTCCGCACACGTCATTGATGACCACGAGCTGTAAAAGATTCATCTATTATCGTAGATTGATAATCAATTGATTAATTGATCGATTGATAGCAATTTTGCAGTGCCCTTATTATCAATAAGTAGAGTAGGTGCTCCGTGACCTACGATTCTTGAGAGGTCCATCGATTTATCATCGGTCGATAATCGATTGATTGATTAATCGATTGATCGATCAATCAATTGCTAGATTACAATAGATGATCAACAAGTAGGATAGATGTATATTGATCCGTGCACGTCGTCTATAAAAGATCCTTAGATTTATCATCGATCTATAATTAATTGTTTAATTGATTGATCGATTAATCTATCGATGACAATATATGATTAATAAGTAGGATAGATGACTATTGATCCGTGCACATCGTTGGTGGCCTACGATCTATGAAAGATCCTTAGATTTATCATCGATCGCTAATCGATTGATTGATGACAATAGATGTACAGTTTGATCAATAAGTAAGATAGATGACAATAGATGATCAATACGTAGGATAGATGCCTATTGATCCGGACACGTCGTTGGTGACCACGAGTTGCCCGGCAGGTCCGACGGCCACGGCGTAGGGCCGCCCGCCGGTCGGGACGGTGCGAACGTGCTTCCCGTCGTACGTGAACACCTGGGGGTGGGGGGCGCACGCACCGAGAAAAAATTATTTATTCTATTCACATAGATGAGTATGTTGTCTGTTGTGAGCATTGGGCAGAAAGCACGTTATGGGACTATAAGGATGCTTTGCTCATGGAACATAAAAGCATAAATACCAACAAGGTTAAAAAGTATAGTGGACATACATGTAAAATTAAAGTACACCAATAAACACGCACACATACACACGTACACACACACACACACACACACACACACACACACACACACACACACGACACACACACGACACACACACACACACTCGACACGTACACACACACACACACACACACACACACACACACACACACACACACGATGTACACCACACACACACACACACACTCACTCACACACACACACACACACACACACACACACACACACACACACACACACACACACACACACACACACACACACACACACACACACACACACACACACACACACACACACGCACACACACACACACACTCACACGCACACACAGTCAGTCACACACGCACACACACACACACATACACACACGCACACAGTCAGTCACACACACACACACACACACACACACACATACACACACACACACATACACATACACACTCTCTCACACACACACACATGGCTAAGGTAATAAAATGCCATACCTGCACGCGTCGGTTCTCCTTGTCTGCCACGATGACGGTCCTGTCGGGTCCCGTGCACAGCCCCTGAGGCCGGTTCAGCAGGCCGTCTGCCGCCCCAACCCCGCCAAACCTGTATTTTTTTATTAGAAACAGAAACTTTATTAGTCAACACAGAATTTTATTATATATAAACGACTATACAAGTTTTATCACACTTATATTTATTGATTATAAACCGAATTTGATTGTCTATTTTAACTCCTTAGCGTTTTTAATCTATTTCATTGTAAATGCTTGTCAATTCAGACTTATTGTTTGCAAGAAGGTTTGTGAATAAAGTTTCAAAGTTTCAAAGTACAGAGACACAGTGCTGACGCACTGTAACGAGATGCTTATCTTACGCCACCACTGGAAAAAGAAAAGTTCGGTGATCTCTTACCTCCATGACATATTCAGTGCTTTAATTTGTAAATCTTATGCATAGTGATGACCACCTGTAAATGGCTTACATCTAAAATCCTGCTCATTAGCAAAATTACCTGTCTTTACATACCTGTCTCCGAATCATATTACAACAACAGCTTCTTTCCCCGGACTGCAAAATTATGGAACTCTCTTCCAAACAGCTGCTTTCCGTCCGATTACAATCCACAAAGCTTCAAAACAAAGGTCCACCGCCATCTCCTGACATAGCTACATTATACTCACTTAAGTACCTCTAGCTCTATGCCTAAAAGTGCCAAAAATAATTGGCCTTGCATTGAGCGACACCGTTAAAAAAAGATTTACATAAATTATTCACATAGCTAGGCAACATAAACCGACTGACCTGTCCACGTACCAGCCGTAGTGGGTGAATGCGAACACCTCGTGGCTGAACGGGTCCGACAGGAACACTCGGCCCCTCGGATCCGGGCCAACCGCTATCCTCAGGGGTGCCTTTAGCTCCCGCCGTCCGAACTCCCGTAACTATGGAAACAAATAAACAAACAAACAAACAAACTCGACATCTCGGATCCGGGCCAACCGCTATCCTCAGGGGAGCTTTCAGGTCCCGATGTCCGAACTTCCGCAGCTACAAAAACAAACAAACAAACAAACAACGCGATCCAAAACAAACAAACAAACAAACTCGGTCCCTCGGGTCTGCGTCAACAGCGATCCTCAGGGGGGCTTTCAGCTCCCGACGCCCGAACGTCCGCAGCTATAAAACAAACAAACAAACACGCCACCCTCAGCGGTGCCTTCAGCTGAAGAAGAAGGAGGACAAGAAGGAAAAGAAGAACGGAAAGGAAAAGGCAGGAGAAGGAGAAGCAGTAGAAGCGTCGAGAAGGAGGAGAAGAAAGAGAAATCAAAGAAGGGGAAGAAGAAGAAACAGAGCAAAACAAGAAAAAAACAAAAACAATTTCCTCACCAGGTGACCGTCGGGGCGGTAGACCCGCACGGCCGACTTCCCGTCTCCAGTCACCATGACCTTGCCGTTATATCGGTCCACCGCGATGCCGCGGGAGTTGTAGAACTTCCCTCCACCCCAACTCCTGCCCTGCAACTTGCTACATAATGTAACCCAACACCACGGGCTGTATGCAACCAGTTACCATGGTGACAGACGTCTGGTCCTGGTCATTGGCCTCATATATTTGAATTTGAAGGAGAAGGGGGAGAGGGAGAAGTAAAGTGATCGAGAAGGAGAAGAAGAAAAAGAAACAGAGAAAAAAAAAAGTTTCCTCACCAGGTGGCCGTCGGGGCGGTAGACCTTCACGGCCGACTCCCCGTCTCCAGTCACCATGACCTCGCCGTTATACCGGTCCACCGCGATGCCGCGGGAGTTGTAGAACTTCCCGCCGCCCAGGCCGAAGGTCCTCAGCACCCGCCCTTCCCGGCTGTACTGGACCACCCAACCGTGGCCGTTCTCGCTACCTGTGAAACAAGAAAAGCTATCTGTCACCAAAAATCCAGGACCATAGCATGTTCAGGACAAAAGGCGTTCTGACAACTAATGTGCAGAAACAAAAACACAGTTGTAGAAATTCCCGCCGCCCATGCTGTACTCTGCACCACCCAGCCACGGCCGTTCTCGCTACCTGTGAAACAAGAAAAGCTATCTGGACTTATTGGCTTTTAAAGATTTCGCCAGAAAGTCCCCTGCAGTTCCAGAGCAAGCTGCTAGGGGGATCAAACGGTAGCAAAAATCAGGAATTACAGTACATACCGACCACCCAGACGTTCCCTTTCTTGTCTGTTGCGATGTCTTCTGGCCGCATCACCCGGAATCCGTCGGCGAGGTAGTGACCAGTGCTGGTCCGGAAATCGTGCAGGAAAATCCCCCGCATGCTGTACACCTTCAAACATCAGAGTTATCAACCAAGAATTGAGGTGTTCAAAAGACTTCGCCTCCACAGCATGCCGAAAACTGGGGGTTTGGGGGGTCTTCAGGGTCTTTGGGAGCTTTTATGTGCTATTTTCTGATTGCATATAGACAGCATAGCCGGCCTGGTTGAATTACCCCCATTTTTTAACTGGGCTGATTAGAAAACAGCCGAAGACCACCAAACCCCCAGTTCTATAAGCCTGCTACGGAGGCTCCCAAGAACTATCGTAGAGTGGAACTCGTTGCCACCAAGCACAGTTGGGGCAACATCACTAGAAAGCTTTAAAACAACTCCTGCAATTAAATGTGCAAAGATTGAGTGCAACAAGACGTTAGGTGTGAAATAGCTAGCTGCCGCCGCGACGCGTGCCTGCGAAGCTGGTGTGTTACGCCAAAGGGTGGTTATACCGGCTATGCAGATACAGAAGCTGGTGTGTTACGCCGAAGGGTGGTTATACCGGCTATACAGATGCTGGTGTGTTACACCGAAGGGCGGTTATACCGGCTATACAGATACAGAAGCTGCGTGTTACGCCGAAGGGCGGTTATACCGGCTATACAGATACAGAAGCTGATGTGTTACGCTGAAGGGAGGTTATACCGGCTATACTGATAGAGATACAGAAGCTGGTGTGTTACGCCGAAGGGTGGTTATACCGGCTATACAGATACAGATACAGATACCTTCACCCGCTTGGCCAGTGGCAGACACAGGAACAGCTCCCCGCCTGGCGATACACTTGCGCCGCGAGCCGCTAGGGGTCGCCCCATGCTCGAGACTACAAACTCGACCGTCCCGTTGGGAACACCTTCATTTCCAGCGGCTGCTAGAAAAATCATGAAAGCAGAAAAAATCTACTCTCCAAGCAGAGGTTTGAGTTTGGAGTTATTTTTGGCGTGTTTTTAGGCTTTTTTATCGTTTTTTTTTTGCACTGGAATTGCTTTTTACCCAATTCAACTGCAAAAAAGAAACCCCGATAAAAAAACTAAAAACAAGCCAAAAATAACCCCAATCCCAAGCCTCTGCTTAGAGAGTAAAAGATACCTAGTCTCCGGCATACTCCTTTGCAGGTTGAATAAATAGTGGAAATCGGACTAAAAAGAATGTAACTGGCCAGGAGAGTTGGCCGGCCATAGAGGGTCCATTTGCCAGTAGGTCGCCAACTCCCCTGGCCAGCTACATTCTTTTAGGTCGATTTCTAATATTCCTTCAGCCTTCAGCCTGCAAAAGAATAAGATTTTTTTTATAAATTCCAACGTGTAATCACAAGCCGTGGTGCGAACACACTGAAGTTTTTTCAACTTATATTAATGTCGCCACCAACACAGGGGACAATACAATACTCATTTTCACCTGAGCCAAGGGCACAAGGTCGGTGGCATGTCAGGACTCGAACCCGGGACCTCTTGGTTCCGAGTCGAGCACTTAGCCGTTACGCAACGCGACCCCACAAAAGAGTCTGATTGAGACTAGAAGAAACCATGACTTAAAACCAATCTGTTCCCTTCTCAAACCATTCCACATCAAGCATATAATGCACAAAAACACTACTATAAGACTTCAAAACAATTACACTTACCAGCGATGGTCTTGTAGCTGGTTGCGACGGTCGGCGCCTCTTTTGTAGCCTCCGGATCCCCTGAAGTCCCGCTTCCGGATCCGGTACCAGCTGGTTCGGTAGATTCCGGATTACCGGTACTCCATCCTCCGGATTCGGTCGCATCCGGATCCGTAGCCTCTGTTGTGCCGGCGCTCACGAGGGCCTGCATGGGGGTGTAGTGATTACGAATTACGCAACTTTTCGCCGCCGATTACGAATTACGTTCAAGTCTCAGAGCCGATTACGACTTTACACTTTGTGGCTAATGTACTATTACGAAATACGTTGTTTGATTTTTTGGGAGGCTGCCTACGGATTACGAAGACTAAAAAGGCCTGATTACACCTTACGATAAAAGGCATGCAGGCCCTCTACTCACGTTTCCGGATTCGTCTTCGGTAACGGTCGGTTTTGTAGCATCCGGTATTCCGGTACTCTCGCCTCCGGAGTCGGTCCCTTCCGGTTCTGTAACTTCCGGCGTGCTGGTATTCCCGCTTCCGGATTCGTTCCAAGGCGAACGTGTAGATTCCGGCTTGCCTGTACTTCCGGATCCGGTTCCGGTCCGGGCTGTGGCCGCCTTTCCAGTACCCTGCCCTCCGGAGTGGGGAGTAAACCGGACCTGCAGAATAGGAACCCGCGACAGTACTCATTCATTCATTTATTTCGGAACCTTTTAGCCCTGCAGGGCTAATCCTCCAAGGCTCAAACATTAAAATTACCTAATCACATACATGGAAAATACAGTGAATACATTTAAAAAGACTTGTATACATCAAAACATCAGCAATGAACACACAAATCGATATCAACAATTTAAAAACTAAAGGTTGAGGCTCATGTGACACTGTTTGCGATTCATTCATTCATTCTTTCATTCATTCATTCATTCATTCATTCATTCATTCATTCATTCATTCATTCATTCATCCATCCATCCATTCATTCATTTATTCTAGCACCAGTTTGTTTCCAGTCATCCAATACAATATCAGTAATATGATATACTTGGATACTTGGATACTTTATTTAGTCCATTAGCTGTCGTACACAAACACACGAATACGCAGCTAATCTTCCTGGACCGTAAAAACATAGAACAAGGACATACAAACTACATTGGGAAGCGAATATTGATATTCTTGTGAATGATTCATTCTGTAAAGTGTCACACGTTTCAGATCTAAATTGTCTACCATTGCAAGAGACTGGTTTAATTTCGTACTCTCTAAGTAGAGGTTTGGGTTTTGTATTATTTTTGCCGTGTTTTTAGCTGTTGTTTTTTTATCGAGGTTTCATTTTTTGCACTGGATTTTTTTTCACCCAAACCAACAACAGCAAAAACTCCTGTGTAAAAAAGAAACCCGATTAAAAAAGCCTAAAAACACGCCAAAAATAACCCAACACCCAAACCTCTGCTTGAATCGCGGAGAGTATCAAATTCGTACCATTGCATGCTGGGAGCTAAGGTGCATCCAGAACAGGATGACTGCTATTATCAGCGTTGCCATGACAACCGACGTGACGACGAGGCAGACGGGCCGAGGGCGTGACGTCACACGGCGGAACAGCCGACCAATCACCGTGGACTTGTCCGTCGAGGTGCCTGTGACGTAACGTGCTGCCGTGAATGTTACATGTTTCCAAGACAACGTGAGGAAAAAATTAACTGAACAGCTACTGGTAAGAAAATCACTTTCCATGCTTTAATGAAGCAAAACTAAAATGAAACGTGAAAGAAATCAAATTGGGCTTAAATGAGTCTACATCAACAGCGATAGAAATCTAAAGAAAACACTAAAATATGATTAAGAAAACCAAAATAAATGCAAATAGATACAGGCATTTAAGCGATTAAGATATATAGAGCATATGTGCAAATTTGCAATAAAAAGGAAGCTGGCACTAAACAAAATCTCTGTGTGTGGGAAATTTAAGCAGTAAAAGCAAATCTTATAAAGCACTAACCTGCAGCCAAAGTAGGGTCCGGTCCGTCAACGTGAGCCGATCCTCGAGCAGGCCCCTCGTCTACCCCGCCACCGGCGGTGGTCTCGGCCCCCGGCGGCGTGTCGTGCGACCCCGTACCGCCGGCAAGAAGTTCCCCGTGCGGTGGTTCAGCCGGCCCGGGCGGCCCTTCTACCCCGCCACCGGCGTTGGTCCCGGCGACCGGCGGCACGTCGTGCTGTCCCGTACCGCCGGCAGGACGTTCCCCGTCCGGTACCGGTGATTCCGGCTCGGGTGTACCGTCTACCCCGCCACCGGCGATAGTCACGGCGTCCGGCGGAGTATCGTACAGTCCCGTACCGCCGGCAGGACGTGCCGCGTCCGGTGATTCCGGTTCGGGTGTCGCTACTATTCCGCCATCATCTGGAGGTTCTTGCGTTTCGGCACTTGCCGCGCTAGTCGATCCGGCGATGAGCATGTATTCTTCCACACCGTTGTCTTTACGGTCGCCGGAATGGTCGGCTTGCGGTTTGGGCGTCGCTCCTATCCCGCCATCGGCGGTAGTCTCGGCGCCCGGCGGTGTGTTGTGCAGTCCCGTACCGCCGACAGGACGTGCCGCGTCCGGTGATTCCGGTTCGGGTGTCGCTACTATTCCGCCATCGCCTGGACGTTCTTGCGTTTCGGCACTTGCCGCGCCCGACGATCCAGCGACGAGCATGTATTCTTCCACACCGTTGTCGTCTTTACAATCGCCGGGACGTTTCCCTTGCAGTGATTTCGGCTCGGGTGTACCGTCTACCCCGCCACCGGCGTTGGTCTCGGCGTCCGGCGCATGGTCGTGCGGCCCCGTACCGCCGGCGAGACGTTTGGCGTGCGGTGATTCCCGCTGGGGCGTCGCTCCCATCCCGCCAGCGCCTGGTGGTTCTTGCGTTTCGGCACTTGTCGGGCTAGTGGATCCAGCAACGAGCATGTATTCTTCCATGCCGTCGTCTTTACGGTCAAACGCCGCTATTTTCTGCGGACTAGCCTGGGTGCCATCCTCCGTTGTTTCCGCCCGCTCCCTGATGTCGCTCGGCACCACTAGCGGACTGTCGCCGGTTGGACGGGACTTGGACGGCAATCCGGGCACGAGCTTCCTTCCAGCCGCCTCGTCCGGAGCTGCAGTAAACGGATTTGCCGAAGTCTTCAAATTCGACAGGTCTACAGCGCCGGCTTCTCCAAGACATGCCAGACCGTCTTGCGACGGTTCCTTAGCCCCGCGCCTTGAGACGCTCACATTCTGAGCATTTCCCTGCCCCACGCCTTGGGTAAGGAACGGGGGAGGAACGGTAGCAATCTCGCGAGCAGTGTCTACCTCTCTCTCCATCTCTTGAAGTGAGACTTCTGGCTCTCTGGCGAAGGTTCGGACGGAGTTGCCGAAAAGGACGACCTGTTGTTGCAAATTTGTTGCCAGGAAGTGTTGCGAAATGTGTAATAAGAAACTGTTGTCACAAACACAGTTTGCAGTTGCCCTGTAATTTTGGTACAAAATGTAATTAACTGTCTGAGGGACTTGATTAAAAGTCCACGTGCAGAAACATGCCTCTTTAATAAACACGAGAAAAAATTATTATAGTTTCATTTTCTGTAATTGAAGTTTATGGCAAATGATTGTGCAACTTTTAATCAATGACTCATGAAATGTAATAGTTGGAACCTGTCGCTTTCAAATTACACATGGGGGTAATACATTGTAGAAACGCGTCTTTTTTCTTGCTACGGCCTCTCGTCAAAATCTTCTTGTCGAAATTAACCATTCTTGCTGTTAG